ATTTGTTGTGTCCAATTAACTTAGATTTCTGCCAGCTTATACAGGATTGTGCCAATCCCCTCACGTCTCTATTCATATCACGATTGAGCGATCCCTACCTGTAGATGTATCGCATAGTAAGGTTTCCTTACCTGTCCCCATCTCTTTAATAGGAAGTTTTAGGGTTGCTGAAAATAACTCGTGCTGAAGGTCAGTGCCTTTTTTTTGAAGCTGGGCGAGTTTAAGAAGGTCGATTCCTTGAAAACTATTCAAGGAAGTTATACGAGAGGAGACGTCTGCAACTACATTGTTTGCTCTAGAAATAATTTGAGTGTCTGAAGTAAACTGCGAAATGTACTCCAGTTGTCGAGACTCACGAGGTGAGTACTTGTCTGAAGATGAGCTCAAAGAAGAGGTAGGAGGTTTATGATCACTGAAAAAAGTGAACTGTCGACCTTCAATAGAGTGTTGAAAATGCCGTGCAGCACAATACATAGCTAGGAGTTCCCTACCGAAAGTGCTATACCTCGATTCAGTGTCTGTCAACCATCTAGGGAGAAATGCTAAAGGTTGTCAGGAGTGGTTAACCCATTGTTGTAAGACTCCTTCAATTGTTGAGTCGGATGCGTCTACTGCGATACTGATGGGTGCTCGGGTGTCTCAATGCGCGAACATGGTTGCTTTTGTGATAGGTTCATTAACTGTGGAGAATGCTATTCGCGTAGTATCATCCAAATTGATGGATTTCGCATTTCCACGAAGTTGGTCAGTTAGCGGTTTCATAAGTGACGCGCAGTTTGGTATGAATCGTCTATAGAAACTTATCAGCCCGTTATATGTGCGCACTCGCTCAATGGTGGTCGGTTATGGGTAATCTAGAATGGCCACCACTCTGCTTCTTAGAGGTCGAATGCCTTGCTCATCAATATTGTGTCCTAGGAAATCTATGGAGTCGGTTCCGACTCGGCATTTCAGAATGTTTACGGTTATGCCATGTTTTTGCAGTCGTTCAAAAACAAGGTCCAGATGCTGGAGATGAGATTCCCTGTTTGGACTTGAGATTAAACAGTCATGAACATGAAACCGAAAATGCCAAGAGCACAAACAATTGCAGTAGAAAAGAAAATTTTATACATGAACATCGACTTCAAAGGTGATAGAGCCGCATATATCTTAAAGAGGAGAATTTCAGATTCTTTAAAAAGAACATTCTTCGCAGCAACATTGCAAATATTATTCTCCAGCCGATCACTGTTCACCAATAATCTGAAAGATAAATTATCGCATCTGACCAACTCAATGTGCATTTACCAATTTACCTGCTCTTGTGGAGCTAGGTATATAGGTCGTTCGATGCGTACTTTATCCAAAAGAATTCAAGAACATTGTCCGGCGTGGCTAAGAAGAGGAGGCAGCGGCTCAATAAGAAGTTCTATAATCGAACACCTTGTGAACACAGGTCATTCAATCAAGACAGACTCTGCGTTCAAGGCGGCCTGCTTGAGCATCTGGGCTACCTGTTCCTGCCATCTAGATATTTCGACAAGTTATCTATCTTTGTTTGTTTTAATATATCATTATGTCTATTAATCGCACAACCTATTTTGCTGCGTTTCTGAAAAGTGTACAACCTTTCGTTGTCAAAGTTACAAAAAGCTCAAAAAGAGAGAATATTGTTGCTGGCAATATACAACGAAAAGAATGTACATTATTCAGATATTCATTTACTGGACTGTTAACATCTAGCTGGCGATCACTCAGTATTTATCGCGAGGACCGACCAAGAAGAAAGAAACGGAAACTTGTTGAAATACTTTGTGCTGAGAATTCTATATTGTACCAATAATATAATATTGAATAGAGCTAATAATAATAATAATACAAGGTAAGTAGAAGCCTTCCTAAGACAATTAGACTGCATCTTCTTTGTATTGCCGAGGCAATAGCCATACATTTTGAAAAACCAGAATTATGTTTACAAAAGAGACTGATACAACCTCTTCTTTTACCATGGTCTTAATGTATTAAAAAATTTTTTTTTTCTCTTCCTCATTACTCATGTTCTTTTACAGCCACCTGCTTCACCTTCCATCTTCCCTTCAAATCTTATACCATCAACCGGTTTGTTTTTATTTCCACGATCATTCCGATTATATTTCATCTCTGTTTCAACATTTTATGTTATTTTATCATGCTGAGCTACCCTTACCCGATGAATATCTAAGCCATTAACTATCAAACTTTCCTTGTTTTAAAACATTTTTCTAATACCTTTGTTTATTTAACCTCACTGTCACCATGTATAACATAAGTTTATTATCAGTATTATTATCACCCTGTAAAAATAAGTATATATATTTGCGATTGTACAGCTTTGAAAATGAATTCCCCGAAAAGAGAACTCTTCGCTGAACTAATCTTTCTTATTTAATGTCATAATGGGTGTATTCCGTTTATTAAACAGTCATCAACATACGCATGTACGAAGTTGAGACCTTGTGGTGTTTGAACGAACTAATGATTCCTTTGTACTTGTTGAATGCTTGATTTCGAATTCCAAATACAGTACATTCGTTCATGCTTATGCAGTACCTCTTGATCCGATTACGTTATTTTTGGGATCTTAGTTCGTACTATAATTCAAATACTCATAATCATCACAGACCTCAAAAGATGTCATCTATGAATATTTGAAAAGTTCGTGCAGCATTTCTTAAGCCGAAAAACATATTCAAAACTCGTCGATATCGAAGGGAGTGATGATAGCGGTTTTTGGAATGTCGTCAGAAGCCATAGGAATTTAATCATATGCTTCGATCAAGTCGATTTTCGAAAATACACTTTTCACCTTTCATAGTAGCTGTCAAATCGTGAATGTGAGACATCGGGTAACGATCAGGAATGTTTTTCACATTCGACTGCCGATAGCCATTAGCTAAACGCCAGCCGTTGCTGTCTTTTTTAGAGACTACGTGCAAGGGAGATGCCCATGGGCTGTTCGCGTTTGGCTGCTTTGAGTCTACATGTCATCACCGTAATTGATGACTATGGAAACGTTACTAGTATGGATGGAGACCGGATTAATGGACCTCTGAAATGTCTGAGAAACAGTTTCGGATTCTGTTGTGTTTTGTTTTTATCTGCGTACTCTTAGATTATAAAAGAAATAAAATCGAGAGTGAATTTATTTGCATACCCATACGGATCAGTCTGATTAAGTGTCGTGAACTTGTTGTTTAACAAAGGTTTTACTAATCCCTTTTGTTTGAAGTTAGCCATCGTATTGTATGAAGTCATGAAATCTGTCCCTAGAACTTTACTGTGTACGTCTGGCGTAATAGGTGACTGGTTAAAATGATGTCGGATACGGAGATTTACAATGTGCAATCGTTTTTCATATACCTTTATTTTGGCTGTATTGTACACATTACCAGGAATCACACAAACATAATTTATTGATCGTCAAACAAGTGTAAGTGGAATGACACTGATTTCTGCTGCTGTATCTAAGATAGAAAAATGGACCAGATTTAAAAATGACGATAACAGCAAGTCAATACATTTCATCACACGTAAAGTTTATCGAAAGTTTACACGCGATTGCGCTCTCCATATATTATATCCATACTTTCTATCGTGTCAAAATGCGTGCCTCAAAGACAACTATGTGGAACAGAAACAATCAACCTTAATAACCAACCATTCATCACAAAAGTTTCTCTCTATTCTGACAAGAACGTACCAAAATGGATTGTGAAACGATTTCTGTGAGTTCTATTGATTGTTGTATTTCTATCCTAGTGATTCTGTGATATATGCTACTTATTTCTGTCGACATAAGTAGCATGTAACACCAGTCAGAAGTGGAATGCCTAGCAGCAGAAGATTGAGAAAATCGAACAGAAAAGAACAAGAGTGTAAACAGAGAGTAATTTTTATAACAACAAAAACGATTAAATTTGTAAGAGACAATTGATGGAAGATATGCAAATGAAGTATTTGATGTATGGTTTCCATATTTTACAAACGAACTCTGTAATTTTATATTAAACAATAAATTAGTTTCTCCCCACCTGAGTGTTAGTTTACCACAATTCTACTGTCATTGTCAAAATAAATCCAACACAATTACAGAGATTTTGATTTCTGATACTAATCCAATATTACTTTTAATTCAGTCCAATTTCGTTCACTTAGTAAAATTACAATTTGATCCTATTATCTACAACCGTATGCGTCAGTTAGTTAATTTAATTGCTTAAATATAAATTCAGTAACAATTGTATCATAATTCTCACTTGATTCAATTGTCGTCGATTATCAAGTATCAAGATAACGAATATAGCGAATTTTTCGAAGTATAGATTGACGTAGGATTTACATAACGCTACAGTTAACATAAGGTCAATAATAACTTGACTTACAAAACTGAATGATAAGACTCGTGGCTAGATGAATTTACACCCCATAGTAATAACAGAAATTGTCTGATGAAAATAACAGTCATACTTTATGAAAGTACTGTAATTAATTATTACGCAAGATACTCAACATTGGATGGCCGAATACAATCATAATCAGCCTTCTATAGAAGAGAACAAACCAACTTTCAACCGAAGAGGTAATTAAGAAATGACGTTAGAAGTGGATGACACATGCATTACAGAAATCATTGACGGGGCATCATGAGGCAAGCGTTAACTTAGAATCCTGAAGAGGAGCCGAAAATAGGATGACCAAAGAACATATTACATAGGGAAACAGAAGCAGATATGAAAAAGATAAATAACAACTGGAGAGATCTGGAAAAAATTGCCCAGAATGGTAAATGCTAGTGAGTAGCCTATTCTCCTCCACGAGGAGTAACAGGCGTAAGTTAAGTACTCAATGCTCAATTTATTCAAAGTGATCAAGTCCAACCTTAATAATGATACTTAATTTGATTCACAGTATAAAATAAATTCATAATACTGATATTCACTTATTATCCTATTGAATATTCAATAATATATAAAGAATGATTTAATATTATAGTTATATTTTATTGTTCATAATCTGATAATGAATAATAATAATAATAAGATAGGGATTTGTTTTTCTTTTCTTTTTTTAGACAAAAACAAAGAAACAAACAATCGATTGTTTACAAATCACTATAACAATAATTATTCTTTATTATTCTAATATATCATTGTAAACATATTGATTATTGATTTCCGATTAAATATGTAACATAGAAGAAAAGAAAAATAATATTGATCTTTGGAAAAAAAGTACAATTGACAACAACGAAAAAATCATATTGGTTTAGTATAATAAGTTCAAGTTTTAAATTGATATTACATAAAAGAAAGAAAGAAAAAGAAAAACAACGATGAGAAATGAATAGATAAATGAATGAATGAATAAATTTAAATATTTTATGTGCAATTAAAACTTTAAACAATGAAATAAATTAAATGGGAAGAATTTTATGAAGAGAATCAAAACCAAAACAACAAAAAGAAAGAAAGAAAAAGAATGATTCATTATTGATGTTACTGTGCAAAGATAAAATACACAAATAAACAAATAAAAACAAAGTAGAATAATTGAATAAAACAAAAACTAGATAAATAGAAGTTGAACTAATTAGAATTGAAATTGAATGTTGACAATAGCGATAACAACTACAAAAAAAAACAATGACACACTCACACATACACAAACAAATATGTTGAACCATTGAAATGCGGGAAATTGTTATTATTTGAATTTGTGAATTAAATTTTTTGTTTTGTTTTGGAAAATTTCAATTTTACACATTGTATTATTAAAGTAAAACAAACATGCATAGATGATATTGAATGATTTCTCATATGAATAGATTCATATAAAATAGTCAATGAGATAGATAGATAGATAAATGTCTTTTTCTTTTAATCCGACTATTAAAATACAGCTAATATTAGTAGTAATAATAATAATAATTATTATTATAACAGTAAGATACTCTGAATGATCTTAGTTAAATAGTTTGTCATTTTTCTCTTTTTTTTATAGAAAAAAAGAAAGAAAAACGTTTCACAAATAGAATGATTAAAATCTTGTTTATTTTTTTCCTTTTTTCTTTAATTTCTTTTCATTCTCTTTTTCTTAAAATGAAAATTTATACAATACAGTACATAGTACAAAATGTAATGAAGACATATTATTATTGAATGATTATGTTAATGAATTGTGAAAAATAAATAAATCTATATGATTTTTATCTATTGAAATGTATTCAATAAGAGAATGGATAATGATAAGAGATTTAGCAATAATAATAATGGCAATAATAATAGTAACAGTAGTAGTAATAGTAGTAGTAGTAGCAGTAATCTGTCCGATGATTTAGACGAGAGTTGAATCAATTCATGAGATTATATATATAGGTGTATTCAGGGATTATTTCATTGAAATGCATTAATATCATTGAATATGGAAGACAATTTATGATTCAATCAATGAAAACAAAAAGTCATTATTTCTTTGAATTCATGAATCATTTAAAGAATCTAGATTGTTGATAAATTATATATAAATAAAAGAAAAATAAATAAAATTTATTTATATACCTTTGTTAATTAGATTGCTTAAATAAAGAAAAAACTAGGCAACATCTCTTATAATATTTATTATTATTATTATTATTTAATAGATGAATGAATGAGTCAAACAAAGCTAGAACAATATGGAAAAACCTGGAAGCACTGGACGGTCGTTTCGTCCCAGTATGGGACTCATCAGCAGTGCACATCCACGATTCATCTCGCCGGATTTGAACTCAGGAGCTATAAGTCTCGCAAGAGAACGTTTAGCCAGTAGACTATTGATTTGACATCCAATTGTGGTAATGTTTAACTTCAACTAATCATTATTATACTCTGATTCGCAACATTGGTAGTTATATTAATTAGAAAGTAAACAATTAATATAAGGTTATTGCATTATATTGTTTCTAATGTTTTGACTGAAATTAGATTCACATTCCGTTTGTTCTATACTAACTTGTATCAGAATGACTATATAACGGTAATCCACATAGAACGCATATATGCTGACCAAGATTGATTAAATTTCAGCCAGAATATCAACAATCGGATTATACAAACCATTTCAAATTAAATTAAAATTTATAGGTTTTGCAAAATTGAATGGTTGCTTGGACTTTATAACTAAGTGAAGAATGTGACAGTGCTTAAAATGGCTATCACTGGGTTTAATACACGGGATGAATATCAACTCCGAGATGCAGGTACATCCGACTGAGGCGTTCCAAATGGAAAGAAATGTGTGTCCTGGATTCTATCGCTAGCGACATTCCATATATTCTATACTAGAAACTATGAAGGTTCAAGAGTTCACAATTTGTCAGTAAGAAACTCACCCTTCAATGTCTGTTTAGAAAAAAATAACTTCAGTTAGAATTACCTGTAGAATTTTTAGTGTACATTAAGTTTGATATATCCAACATATTCGGTCATGTGTTATATTTTTAGTAAATGAGACTATGTGTTAAGGCGTAATATTCACTAAAAATTCAATTTCAAGTTTCCAACTATCTGATGTCAACATCTCAATAAAAAGTAGCCTGATAAGCTGGTCAAATATAAGATTCAATTTAGAAAGTATATCTTTGTAAAGATTAGTCTTCTATTTAACTAACTACGAAAATATCCAGAAAAGTTACACACAACCCATTTATGGAATATTGTAAATGTTACAAATAGCCTCATTAAAAATTCATAGATATAACTACATTTATTTATACTATTTATCATATCTATAGATAACCTTGATAAAACGGCTTTCCCGTGTTTTCACGTATCCACAGGTGGTCTAGCATTGATTTTTCCATAATATCAATAAAATAAATATTTGACATTTAGAGATTATGAGTTGATTTTATCAACTAAAGTGACACGAATCCATATTTATCTGAACAGTTATATAATTTCTGACACTAGTTATTGTCACTTCAATAGATCGCTTGTCAGTATCCAAGAAAAATTAATCATAGATTAAACAATAGATTTACTTTTACCTGATCACTACTCATAAACGGTAATTAAGTAATCACATGTAAACGTGTGAAAAAAACACACATTAAGATTGTACAAACAGATTGAAATGTTTTTATCAACTTGGAAGATCTACAATGTTTATTTCATACCAATTTTAATGGTTTTGCATCAAATTTTTATTTATTAATCAGGCTAATTGATTATATGCTTCCTTTGAACAACTATTAGTATGCTTCAAAATGTGATGTTACAAATAAAGTCAATGTTGTAAAGCCATTTAGTTTTTATTTACAAAAACAGTGTATTATAGAGCAAATAGAATTTCACGTTTCAAAATGTGAATTGATCTTAGCTAGACCACCGGTGAAAACAAAGAAGAACTTGACAGCTTTCTATCCTAGTACAGGATTCCCCGTTTGTACGTATCTATGACCACAGGACAGGAAGGTGACCCTAGGACTCACACCAATCACTAATCACCAGACCAGTGAACCGGAAACCAACGGTATTCATGCCTGGCTTCAATAAATTCACGATGTTACGCGACCATCTTCCTTCGTCTCTGGCAATTAACTTTCTCATATCCGACATTGCTGAACTTCACTGGTCACAGTTCCCCACTATTTATTTCCAGTATTTATTTGCCAAAAGTGGAAACACATTTCCTGCATTCAGCTTATCTTAAATAATCATAATATTCCCGTTGCTTAACTCTTCATGTGACTTTTTTGTGTGTTATAGTATCGGAAATAAGTAAATTGTCATTAATAAAGGTCAATTATATTCGAATTACCCACTGTAAACTAGCATACGTCAAGCAGTATTTGTCTTATTTACTTACACTTCAGGACTGTACATTGATGAATCCATATGGCGTTAAACTCAGATACGTCAGGTCTCAAGAAAAAACGTGGGCATTGAGTGGAACTTCGTTGGTTCAAATTTGAAACTTGAAGATTTAGGGAAATATCACTTTTCAATCAGTGAAGGATTTTAGTTTCTCTCTTTTGATATTCGGGACTGTTTCTGTTGCAATATGATCAAGCTACTTCGATAGAGTGCAGTGTCACGAATCTAGATTATCTGGTTTGTGATTATCTACTGAATACAAAGCCTACGCTTCATCTCATTTCTGACTCATCAGCTGAATGTTGACACTGAAACTTCAACGCAGTATCTTTCGCTTCAAACACTGAACACATTATCCTCAGAGCTAGTCATCATATAGTTATATGAATTCATTGGCTCAATTGTAATCTTGAATATAAACAAAAACGAATTCACAAGCATTTGTGTGAACGTTTATACTTGTTAAACAGGTTATTGGCTTTATAGAATCATTAGCTCAATGGATAACGCTATAAGAGTTCGAAGCGAAAAACAACGTGTTCGAGTTAAAGAGTAAACAATTACACTCGAATCCATGTTCATTCATGTGGCGAGCCTTCAATAAAACAAGATATGAGTTCTGGATTCTATTGCCAGTCTCACATAAAATACACTAAATCATTATCGGATTTTTAATCCCATTGGTAATTTACCGTTTTATTATCGACCTACGCTTGATTTTATAAGCTATCACTTTACTTTGAAATGTCAATAAATTAAACTTGGAACTAGTCACTCATAGAGAACCTTAATGTGATTGCGAAGAGTTTGTAACAAACTAAAGAAAAAAACAAATTTTAATTTCACCCTAATTTCAATTATTTAATTTTTTTTGAATAATTGTCAGTATACAACAACTACTGATAACTTATCATAACAGGTATAATACAGACAACTAAGTTATATTGTGCAAGACGAAAATTATTCGGTTATCAGCAAAAATTATCATTATAAAGCCCAGTTGTTTAATAGAGGGATAAAGTAGATATTTTAATAGTTGAATTCATGAGTCAATTTAAGTTAGAACACCATTCAAAACCTGGAAGCTTCGGATAACCAGTTCGTCCTAGTTTCATCATGTACTCACTAGTCACTAACTTCAAGATGGATTTCCTGTAGTTATAGTGAGAAACTGTGATCAGTGGAGTTCAATCGTATCTGTTCTCAGGCAGTTTCTCACTGAAGACAATAGAGGACTGTCACACAATATCGTGGATTGGTTAGAGTTAGACATTAACACTGTTTGATGCTGGCTCAATGATTTCGAGAGTAAGCATTCACGTGTGAGATCGAAGGTCCTGGATTTGGGTCTCACGTATGGGGTCGTGTATGTGCTCTACTGAGGAGTCCCATACTAGGACGAAACAGCCGTCAAGTGTTCACGAGTCCTCAGTGATGGTCTAGCTTAAATCGACTCCTGAATTCAATCATTAAACTTACTACAATCTCCACAAACGCCCATTCTGATAAAGTAGATATTGTATAAAATTAGACACGATTATATAAAATAGGGTGATTATTTTTAATAGATAAATGTTGAGCAAAAATATCTCAGTATTAATATATTTCTAGATTATAAAACTATTTAAAATCAAGATTGTTTACTCTTACCAGGCAAATCATTATCAATAAAACTATATTGATCTAAATTCGTAGGATTCACAGGGGATACATTATCTGAAGCCTCTGTAGTTTGATGTAAAGCCAATAATCGCCCAATAGGTTTACGACGTCCAATTATTAAACTTGACAAAGCTGTATTTGTATTAGAATCAGTAGATGACGTATTTGGAGCGTTTTGTTTGTCAGATGAGTGAAACAACTTTGATGTTGTAATCGATGAAGCGATTGTAGATGGAGAAATCGAATGTTGACCACTTGAAGAATATAATTTTTTAATCCCACGTACAATAGATGATGACGATGAAGGTGAAGCTTCATTCACATTGATACTATTACTGGTAGAAGTAATAACATTAGTAATAGTAGTAGTAGTACTGGTAGTAATGGCTATTCCAGTAGTTGGTGGATTAGATATTTGAGATGCTGTAGTGATAGTTGGTTCAATAACTGGTTTAGCTAAATCTTGAAGCCTCATACTAGATTTTATATTAGTTGATTTTTCATATATTACAGGATTATGTCTTTTATGCATTTTGTCATGTTTATCAGATCCATGTAATGAAGAAATTGTGATATCAGAACTGGTATTAATAGGAGTTTCTTCAATATTTGCATTGTCTTTACTAAATCCTTGATTCTGTCGATATGGAGTATACAAAGGTAAGGCTCCAGTAAGCAGGGCTAATGAAATAAATTTGTACACGTTACATTATTGAAATTTAAATAAATGTATCAATTGAATAAAGAACTTAAATGATAGAGATTATAATTAAAACGGATTCGTTGAGAAATCATTCCCACATATTCTAAAATGATAAAAAAACTATCAAAGACAATACATTTTTGTTGCATTATTAAACATTTCGCTAATAAACAGTAAAATCGGTTACAGTTTTCATAATCTTTAGCCTTACACATTATTCGTTTCGTTGTTACTCTGTTATCCGTTAGCTTCAAACGGACTCAAGTATTATTTCAATATTGAAATGGTTTAAATTAACTCGTTATTGATATTTCTTACTAGTATTTAATCAATCTTGTTTGGCATAAAGGTATCCTGTGGGGAATACCTCGTTATAGCCATTACTGGAAAAGTTGATATAGAATAGACAGAATGTGGCTAGTAGTGTGATTCAGGATGACCATATGCCAACCAAGACTGATTAAATTTCAGTCAGAATATCAACAATCGGATTGTACAAACCATTTTAAATTAAATTAAAATGTGTACATCTTGTAAAATTGAACGGTTGTTTGGACTTTGTAACTAAGTGAATAATACGACAGTGTTTGAAACGAGAATTACTGGGTTCAAGACACGGAGTGAATATGAACTCCAAGATACAGGTACATCCGACTGACGAGTTCCAAATGAAAAGAAATATATGCCCTGGATCCCATTTCTAGTCATATTTCATTTATTCTGTATTGACTAGAGCCTGTTTTCGTGTATATTTGGTTGTTGAGTTTTTTTCTTTAGAAATAGATGTCAGCTGAGTAACTCCCGAAAACATGGGGACTGCTGTTAGATATTTTGTTTTAGGATGAAACTTCATGGTACTGAAAACGTATGATGCTAATTTGAAGCGAGCGCAAAAACTTTAATGTGTAATTGCATTGCATGTACGCTATATGATAGCCAAATAAATTCCTAGTCTAATAAGACGCTAATAAATAAAGTTACTATTTGTGAATCCAACTTATAGTGATTTTAAGGACTTATCATTAGTGTCAATCAGAAAAACGGTTCAAGAATATACATATATGTGATTTTCGTAAATCATATGAAACTAATCACTTCATTCTGTTCTTCGTATGTTGTCACAGTTTAGTTTAAAATATGCTTTTATACTTTCTCTTACTGAAATATACATTTTCGGCGAGACTATAATTTAAAGATGAACCAATCACATTTATGATAACAGGTCTTGGATTTTTGGCGCGAAACTCATTCTTCCATTTGGCCAAATACCATTTCAGTATTATAGATTATGTCAGGTCGTGATGAAAACATAAAATCTAATTTTTCACCATAACATTCAACCATAAATCCTAATCCCGATTCTTTACACTGATTTATCACCTTTACTTAACCCTGGTAAGTAGAATGATATTCTGAGGTCATTTTAGCGTTGCTCGAAATTCGTCCATAAATTATAGTCTCAACACACTTTTTGTAAATAGAACAAATGGAATTAATTAGTCATACTTTAAGCTTTATTTTCAATGAGTTAGCTTTAGTTAATTAAGTATGTAAATTTGAAAAAAATTAATACTCACTTCCTGTAGGTCGAATTTGCGGTGAAACAGATATTGTTGCCGATCTTAATAAACCAGAAGATGGAAGTGTTGTTGTAGTTTCTTTGATAATATTGATCATATTATCATTATTATTACTGTTAGTAGTACGAGTAGTATTGCTGTTGGTTGTACCAACAAGTGTGAAAGTTGTCGACGATGGTATATCAGTATTAATGGTTTTATTGCTAGTAGTAGTACTAACAGTAGTAGCAGTAGTGATAGTTGTTATAGTGTTAACTGTATGAATTTTACTAGATATATTCATTGGTGTATCAGGGACACTATCTACAACTGTACTACAAGTTGATTTAGATCGCTCACAATTAGCTAATGAAATACTACCACGTGCTGAATTCATTCGATTATAATCAGCTATGGTAGTTTTATCATCATTTAATGTAATATGCGCTGTAATTAATTTGATTGGATCATATTGTTCTGATGAACCAAATACTTGAAAAACACGATCAATTAATAATTCAACAACTTTTGTCTGACCTTTATTATCCATGAATTCCATCATATTAGCTACTTGAAATCTGTAAAATAAAATGTATGTGTATGAAACGAATAAAGGTGATAAAAATATTTAGGCCAGAGATTTTTTGGAGATTATTATAACGTAATTGGACTTTTTATCAGGGATTAATATTAGCTGAGGTGTAGTTGAAAACTAGAAAGAATTGGAAAACCATTTTTTCATGATACAAATTTGTTTAAAATTGAAATTCACAATCCTTTCCAATATAAATCCATAAAACCTCAAGTCTAACAGCGTAAGCATTATGTCAACACCACTGAGATAGATTGCATTCATCCAAATATTAAACTCCAATTAATTAACCTCAGGTATAGTTAGACCCTACCGATCACTGTCTCCTACTGGAACACAGTAAACTGATCTCTAAGCCAGGTGTTAGTGTGCACATGACTATATCGTTTTTGTCTAGATGGAAATTTTTGCTTACTGCTGAGACATCGACTTCTATTTAGTCCTTTTCATTGGTATCGAAACTGACGTTAGTTCTTGATGATTGTTATCTTTACATAGAATCGGATACGAAACTTGCTATATGTATAGAATCCTCAGAAAACTGAATTAATATCTAGTCATGCAAACTTAATCAATCAACGGTTTTATCTAGTGCAATCAGTAACATTGTTAATTGTTTATCATGTAGCTCAGCCACATAGGTTACATCTTCTGTGTAGAATGTTGATAATTCATCCTGAAGCTATCTTCTTCATATTAAAAAATTTACTCAGAACGTCTGAAAAGTGAAATTTCTAGATCAGAGTTATAATTCACAAGTTAAAAGTGAATCATTTTAAACGATTACATGCAATGAAATAAACCATATTTAACGTCCTCATAAATTTCATTAGTTAATGAAGACATAATCCTTGTAAAACACACGGTTTAATATACTCATCAACTTCAGATGAAAACATAAAGTTTATTTACAGTATGACTACTTTTTTTAGGATTAAATCCTAACCAATATTTTCTGTTCAAATTTCTGTATGAAATATTTCCTAGAATGTATCTCAAATATATTCTCCGTATTGAATGGATGCCTGACTTGTAAAGTTATGTCTGGATGTAGTCGACAAGAAACCTTGAACCTAGGTATTTCACTACATAAAACTCATCAGTAAAGTGTACCTGTAATCTTGAGAGAACTGATATTTCTTAGCTGATCGGATCTATGAATTATATGCATATTTTCTGTAAAAAGATACTTTATTGAATGTTACTTATTAGTTTGATTTTTTTAATGTTTAATCAATTTGTAAAATCCATTTCATTAACTTTCTTCAAGTATACTCAAGTCTAATTATTACGTGGAAGAATTGTCCATTGTAACTATGTACATTGTTATCTAATTAAAATGGAAGTTCACACACAGAATTTTAAAAAAGGTATTGTTATATAATGCAATCGGAAATTATTAAGTAAGTTTTATCAGTATGGGGTTGTGGAGATTGTTGAGTTTTTAAATGAGATCATGAATCGATGAATGTTAGACTACTATTGAAGACCTAGAAGCATTAGACATCCGTTTCGTCCCAGTATGGAGCTCATGAGCAATGAGCATCCGCGATCCCACATGCGGGATTCGAACCTATAGCCCTTGGTCTCGTGCTCAAATGCTTAACCTCTAGACCATTAAGTCGGCATCCAACGGTCTTTTAGCCTAATTATTGTATAACAGTGTATAATATGTATTTAGTATATTTTGTTGATATGCATCAGTTGTTTACAACTAAAAAACAAATCAACAAAACATATCCATCCCCCCACCTTGTATTATTAGTTTAATACTTAGTTAGTTATTACTTCATCAATTCCTAAAAAAAGCATTTCTTAGCATTCACTATATTTTCATCAATATGAGGTGTTTTTATTTTTACAATGAATGATCTTACATACAGATATATTTATACAATTGTAAGTATTTTCAGTTAATAATTGGTTATTGTTCTGTTCGATCAACGTGTTTTGTTCATTTAATTAAGGTAATGTAAATCACTAGGAAACCAGAGAAAAATGGCGATCATGGAATAGTTATTTCACCTAATATAAAACTGTATAGTATCGAGGATCCTTAAAACTAGAAAGAAACAAATTCACAACTATCTAGACTGGTACAAAGTGTACTATAATTTATAGAATACTAAATTGGTAGATAATGTGATTTTCTCATGATGGGTATTTAAAAAAGATGTGTACAAGAAAGAAATAAGCGATTACTGATTATTAGTTTATAAAAGCTGTAATTAAGAATGTAAACTTTTCTTACAATGTCTTTAAACAGTAGCCAAATAATTCCTAACCTAAGAAATTGGTTATGTTTGTGGCGAAATCGGTAATAATCGGCAAAGCATGATGAATTTACATGATACTGTTTAATTCGTTATTGTAGAAACTGGTCATTATTACAATCCCCATAAGTGGTTATATGGTTGTCAAAATGAAAAATGTTTATAAAAAAAATTTACAAACTCACTTAGGTCTTTGACGTAATACTGTCGGAGCAAACATTGTACCTAAATTAACAGCTCCCATTTGATTTTCCGACTGACATTCAGCAACTCTGTAATGTTATTAAGGTAAAAGTGTGGTAAATTTTTCAGAATTTGTTTATTTTACTACTTAAATAAATAGTATTGGACTTATAAAGAAATAGATTGTGTTATACATTTGCGAACTATACAAATACATTCTTTTACCCTATAATCTAAGCTCTCTAACGACGATATACAATTGGTATATGTGCCCTAACCACGTAGTCTCAAAGCATCCTATCACAACAATAAGTAACAAAAAGTCAGTAATTATCAATCCATTCCTTTACTGTCTAACTAACAACCAAATATGAAACGGAACTATTAATAAAGTTTATACATTCCATCCACTATGTGCCGAATATAAATATTCAAAATAATTCTTTTAAAAGGTGGTTTATCCAGTGAACTTAACAACACAATAGTATTCCCATTGTGCTAATCTTTGAATTTGTTTTCATTTATACCTTAAAGTAATATTTGTGTTGTTTAGTATACGTTTATTTTACAGTGACCTTCATGATCTTCAAGAAAAATTAAACATCTATCCACACATAATGTCTATGTTTATATTGTTAGTAAGAGTTTTTATTATCATTCCATTAAATTGAATTTCGATCAATCTACGTTAGTATAAATGTATCCTAACAGAATTACATCTATATAACCATTATGAAACAAGGTTTAAAAATATATGCATTATAAATAACTGAGGAGAAAATAGAAATTCTTTATTAAGCAAGTATTCTAATATATGAAGCTCGATTTCTGAATGAATATGATTCATTTCCGTATTTTATTTAGTTATGCCTTTTAAATCAATATGATACAGCAAATATCGTCTTTTTCCCTTTTTTCAATAAACTAGATCGTACCTATAAATTGATGTGACTTTGTAACATGTATAGGGCGGCCTGCTTGAGCATCTGGGCTACCTGTTCCTGCCATCTAGATATTTCAACAAGTTATCTATTTTTGTTTGTTTTAATATATCATTATGTTTATTAATCGTATAACCTATTCTGCTGCGTTTCTGAAAAGTGTACAACCTTTCGTTGTCAAAGTTACAAAAAACTCAATCAGAGACAATGTGGTTGCTGGCAATATACAACGAAAAAAATGCACATTGTTCAGATGTTCATTTACTGAACTACTAACAACTAGCTGGCGATCACTTGATATTTATCGCCAGGACCGACCAAGAAGAAAGAAACGGAAAGTTATTGAAATACTTTACGCTGAGAATTCTATATTGTACCAAAAATATAATGTGGAATAAAGCTGATAATAATAATATAATGAACGAAAGAAGTTCATTGAGTCATTAAAAAGAATGAAGACTATTCAGTGAAGAAAATTCTCTTTTTGACGATACCATTTTCGGATGCTGTACAAATGTATTTACAGGTAATTTCTTTTATATGTTGTAATCGATAATAAAATGGAGGAGTTTTACAAAAATATCAAAAGATCTTATGAATTATAATTTCTATTTATTGTCTTCTTCCCCTTCTCTTTTATTAAGTAGACAGTTATCTTCATCTTTTATCTCACATATTTTTTTATTACTTCCAATTTTGTTACATAACATAAGCTCCTATTGTTGGTTGATTATTTTGTTAAATGCTTCAAACTTTTCTAGTCGATACTTGAGAAACTTTATTTACATTGAAATGAAATCCTTATTACTTTAAATAATTAAGGATCTCTGATTATCTCTACTATATTATGCAACGTCATATTATTTCAATTGATCTCCGCTTGAATAAGCTTGATTATCTTTGATAATTTTGTAAAAACCTCTTTATTTTACTATAGACAATGTATAACAACTACCTATAAATACTATTATACAGTTTCAGAAAATGATATCGTCGTAAAGAGGATTGTCTTCGCTGAAGCATCTTCGTTTACAGAATATATTAATGTTATTAGAACTAATGTCTTTATACAAATTAGTCAATTTAGTCATAAAATGTTCTTATTATCCTGATTTTATCGAGGTCCACTTAAACATTTTTAATATTTAATAGTTGAATTCATGGGTCAGTTAAAGCTAGACCCTCATGAAAAACATGGAAGCACTGAACGGTCGTTTTGCGCGCGAGACTAAAGGTCCTGGGTTCGATTGCCAAGTATGGGATCGTGGATGCTCACTACCCACGAGTTCCATACTAGGATGAAATGGCCGTTTAATGCTTCCAGATCTTCAATGATGGTCTAACATCGATCAATTTAAAATATCATTCTAAACTCAACAATCTCCACAACCCTACACCTTATTCTCATTTATCAGCTTAATGTCATTGAGAATCAAAATGGGAAATTGTTTATGTCATAGTTGTGTATTGGTGATAGAAAGTCAGTCACATGTATATTAGCACTTGGTATAAATGTTCATCTGCCCACGTTGCTGTACTATATTGGCAACGAGAGATAAAACTACCGGGATGAATACTAAATTAATAGTAGTATTTTGTAAGTAGTTGTTTTATCACAAACTAATCATTGTATTCCGACTCAGTGGCCTAAGTATGTCTTCATATAGCAAAATAAAACTATTATCAGAGAAGGGTTTTTGTGGATATTATAGTAATTTAGTAGTTGAATTCATGAGTCAACTGGAGCTAGACTACCATGGAAAACCTGGAAGCACTGGACGGCCTGATTTTCCATGGTTGACTCATGAATTCTATTACTAAATAAACCATTGTTTTATTCATTCTTGAGTATCCATTTATTACATGGTGCTAAATCAGAACATACCAGTAGTTGAATAATTCCTAATTTCCCATCAATGTTCAAATATTTGGTTCATGATGAAAACCACATTGGAATTGGAACAAATACAGTTATGCAATTACAAATGAATAACCAAATCTATGAAAATAGTATGTCTTTATTCATAAATTGACAAAACTATTGGTAATATCCTAATCGTAGCCAACACTGAAAAAAATTTTTGGTACCCTTTTATTTGTTACCTGTGTAAATGATGAAAAATTAATCCAGCTAATTGACGATTACCAGGACTTAAATGATTAATCAATAGTTGAAGACGTTTCATCAGTTCATCAGTTATATTTGAATCAACCAAGTCAAACGCCTAGATGAATGTATAGAATATTTAGAAGAAAAAACAGAAACATAAAAGAATAATAAGCTTGAATGTAATTTAATTCATTTAACATTTTTGATAGTTGAATGTACGAGTCGATTTAAGTTAGAACACCATTCAAAACCTGGAAGCTTCGGATAACCAGTTCGTCCTAGTTTCATCATGTACTCACTAGTCACTAACTTCAAGATGGATTTCCTGTAGTTATAGTGAGAAACTGTGATCAGTGGAGTTCAATCGTATCTGTTCTCAGGCAGTTTCTCACTGAAGACAATAGAGGACTGTCACACAATATCGTGGATTGGTTAGAGTTAGACATTAACACTGTTTGATGCTGGCTCAATGATTTCGAGAGTAAGCATTCACGTGTGAGATCGAAGGTCCTGGATTTGGGTCTCACGTATGGGATCCGTGATCGTGTAGCTTAAATCAACTCATAAATTCAATCACTAGAAGTACTAAGATCTCGACAAAACCCCTTTCTGATTCAATATTTTTATTAAGATATTATAAAATATAAGTTGATGAAAGAAATCTTTCTCGTTTTCCGTTAAAGCTTCAAACTCATATATCTTTATATATATATATGTTTCACAATTAAGTAGGAAATTATTATCGAATAAATGGTGTTAGATCATTTCAACACAACATCTCGACAGATTTGCTAAAGATATTAACTGATCTCTAATTCAATAAATTTAATATAAGCAATGAAAAGTAATTACTTAATCAGTTAATTACTATAATTAATTACGTAAGAATATGAATTCAGCCTAAAATGAAGTAATTCAATATAAGTGTTTATCATTATTTATAAAACAATAATGAGTGATGAATAAAACGGATTAAATCATCAGTTTATTAAAAGAAATTACTTAAGAATAAAATTGGAAATTAAAGTTGAAGAGATTTTGAAAAAAAACGTAAGGTGAACTTAGCAAAAGACAAGGATACATTAAGAAGTTGTATAAACGTTTTCAATAATCAAATATAAGATTTATTAACGTATACATCTATAGCATTTATTGGATGCAAAACCATCCTGGTAACATGAAAGAAATTCAATGGAGTTTTTTCAAATATTTTTTTGTAATATAAACTCCGATCATTACAGTATCGATTAGATGGTCCAAAACAGATCTCTCCATTGTTTATTGATCAACCATGCTAGTTCAGTGTTATACAAATACATCCACTTATTTACATGATTGTACGTTTAATTTTAACGAGACAATTTATTTGTGTAAAAAAACAAAATGACACAAAATTAACTATTAAAGCTATAGATCAGTCTATTGAAATAAAATAAAAGTTTTCAGAGATTTATCATTGTACTCACTCATTACGTATTAAATAGGTTGATATAAAATAGAAAATATATCACTATTTAATATTTATATTAGAGATCAAGTGTTCACATGTGAGAATGAAGGTCCTGGATTCGAATCCTTTTGGTGTGAGATCGTGGATGTTGAGTATTCATGAGTCCCATACTAGGACGATATGAATGTCCAATACTTTTAGGTTTTAAATGGTGTTCTAACATTGATCAATCCATAATCTCAGTTAAACACTCAACAATCTCCACAATGCTATACTAATAAAACAGAATTATTATTCTTATTGTAGCGTTATTTTGTCTTTACAAATCTTTAATTAGAGTAAAATATACTTTTTTACTATATCACATTTAATATTCGATCATTTTAATAATGAATACATAATTTTACCTTTTAAAAGCTTGGTGGACTTTTGTTCTCTGAGCTGGATGGTTTGATCGTGAAGCTTTCATCGTTCTTCTGAACGACATCATCTGAACAAACTTCAGGTAGAAATGAAAGCTCCACAACTAAACGATCCAGTTCAAGGAATAAAACTTCATCAAAATTATCATTTGAATAATACAGCACTGTGGACTTTTGTATTTCTTTATTTTTCAATCACTTTTTCAACTAATCATTGATTGATGATGTTAATCACATATTACATTAAACAGATTCTACAAATACAATGAAATAATATAATCATTGTTGTTTATTTGAATAGTAATTTCTATCTAAATGTAACTGGTCAAATGAATACAAAACAAAAGTAGTTGAATGCTATAAATACCACAAAATCTTGTCAAAAATAAATTAACTGTATTTACACTGAAATGACCTCAATTTGAGTTGATGATTGATTTTCGCTAGAAAATAAACATATTTCTATTCATTGTTCCGCTCCACTTAACATATATATATATATCATTTAATTATGTAAATATAACATTTTGGTTGATATAAAAGTCTACAGGTGAATCGTTAGGTTGTTGAAAACAAAAAAAAACATGAAATGTTAGATTGTAATAAGTTGGGTTATATGTGTTGTTGTCGTTGTGTTTTTTTTTCACTTGAACAATGTCATATAGATAAATAACGGTTAAGATGGTTGTTGTCAAACATGAAATTAAACTAGTGAATTTTGATTTAATTTACCTGAAAAAAAGGTTGATTGGCGAAATAATTGTGAGTGAACAATAAGTAAAAGTTAGAAAACACTGGATAGCTATTAAATGGTAGTATAGGACTTAGTTGAGACTATAATTGATGGATGAACCAATTAGATATAAGATAATAGGTGTTGAATTTTAGAGCGAAACTCATTCATCTATTTAGTCAAATAACATTTTGTCATTATAGCTGATATCAGTTAGGGATGAAAACATTAAATCTTATTTCTAACCATAACGTTCAACTATAAATCCCAATCCTAATTCTTCATACTGATTTATAACCCTCATTCAAACCTAATAAGTAGGTGGACATTTTCAAGATCATTTTAACACTGCCTAATGGTTAGCCATAAATTATAGTCCCACCTAGAAATTTTCAGCAGTTTGCATCACCGATTTCACCCGAAATCGAACACAAGACCTTCAAACGTTAAGATCACTTTAAACCTTTACAACACTGAGTTGGCATTCAGTGATTTACTACTTTAAACTTGATTAATTCGTGATATTTCATAAGCATTATTTAGTAATTCAAATATGTATTACACATATCTGTTTATAACATTGCTAAGTTATATATGATATCCATGACAAGACTTTAAAAATAAAACCTTGTACGTTTCTAGTAATAAATGACAACTAAGAATTTCTGATATTAATATCTAATCGATTGAAATCACCGCTATTCCTACTCTTCTAAAAAATAATCTGGTTTATAATTTGTGAATTGATAGTTACTTGTTAAGTAAACATATTCTTTGAAGAGAATTAGAAAAATAATATACAGTTCGTATATTTCATCCCTTTAAGAATATAAACTACATAAATGCGTCTACTTATAGCTTGTTTTTCTGGAAATTATGTATGTTAATGATGTAGAAGGACGTGTTCAATAATCTGTTAAACATACTAACTAGTGAAATCTTGCTTTTATTGTATTATTTCAAAGTCTAGTATGAATTTTGTAAATATCTTATCTCTTAGCTAAATAAGAATCAAATGTTGATCCACTGTTTCGTTCAATAAAGCAAATGTTTTGTATTATAAAACATTAGACAATTTGACAAATTCCATGACCGTTTATAAAGTCATATTAAGTTTATGAATACTTATTTTAAAAAAAACACTGGAGAAATCTATCTGTAAGATTTTATGTATTTTATGATTGGTAAGTTTGAAAATGATCCACTATATATGGTTATTGAGAAATTTTGGAAAAATCAGTCCTAAAAAAGATCATTCTTAAATTGAGTAACACAGTAGTAACATTGAATTTTAGTTTTGAATTGTCATAAATTGTAAGTTTTAAAGAAAGAAATATCATCAGAAGGGATTTTGTGGAGATTAAAGTAATTTCAATAGTTGAGATCATGAGACAATTGAAGCTAGACCACCATGGAAAACCTAGAAGCACTGGACGGTCATCTGTTCTTATTGTGGGACTCCTCAGTTGATGTCAGGCATTAACACCGTTGAATGCCGACTCAGTGGTCTAGTAGGTCCTGGGTTCGAATCTTCCGAGGGGCAGGGTCGTGGATCCTCACTGCTCACCGGTCTCATACTAGGATGAAAAGACTGTCCATTGCTTCCACGTTTTTCATGGTGGTCTAGCTTTAATTGACTCATGATATCAAGTATTGAAAGAAATATCAGTTCTTTGATAATTTCAAATACGCTCTACTAATGGATATTAACAAGTAATAAACATGAATATAGAACTTCTGATTCAAAATTTTAATTTGTTATATTATACAAAATTCACCGAAAAGATGAATTACTTCAATTAGCAAGTACAAGTTATACTGTAAAATTCAACGGAAACCAAGTTTTTGACTCCATAACTTTATCAATTAAGAAACAATTTACATTATTATTAGAAATAATTTATATTATACCATTGTTGATAATCTGTACTGAATTTTAACCAGTCTTTATTAACACATTAAAAATGTTACCATCATCCATAAGTATATTTACTAATTCATTATTACAATTACCTAAATATTTGCTTTACTGATAGAGATAAATTACCATTAACTATAAAAGAATTATTTTTACCATACAATAAACACTGATAAATTTCATATATAAACATTTTTTTAATGATAATAAATATCAGTTGTTCAATCAGATATTTATTGAATATGAGAATACATGTGTTAATCATTTCACAACCAACCCCTCCCCCCCCAAAAAAATATACAAATTTATATGAGCTAATGGATTATTTTCCTAAAGTTGTAACACAAATCGACAGTGATTTATTTATTCTATGTAGGATAGTGAAGGAATATTATACCAATTAAAAATAATATACACCTTACCACTATATATTTATATTTAGATGAATGTTTGTTCTCTGGGCTGGACAATTTAGTCGTAGAGATTTCGTCATTATTCTGAACGACATCATCAGCACAAACTTCTACTTCTACTTGACGTTTGTGCTGATGATATCATTCAGAAGAACAATGAAAGCTTCACAACCAAACCATCCACTTTAAAGGACAAAACTCTACCATATATTCATATTTTAGGATTGCAATATTATTTATAAGTACAACGAATGACTATATATGTATAATGAGAAAAAAAGCTTGTCTGATTAATAGTTATTTCTTTTTTCACAAAAAAAACTTTCTTTAATTTCTTTTCAAAGACTGTTATTTCTTTAACATCATTAAATTTATTCTATACTTTCTTTGTTATTTATTAAAGTAATTTCACATCATATTTATAGCACTAATAAAATTAAGAGAGAATTTAACAGCTGTTTCATTCTAGTTTTACAACTGTTTAACAGTATGCATACATAATCTCAATAGAAATTCAACAAAATATCTTTAGATATCTTGACAAAAGCCTAAAGATTAAAAGTTCTTGGCCTCATACAGCTAGCTGACTAGTGATCATTGATATTGATTAGTGATTCAAACGGGATAATTCTGTGACGAATACTATATACAAAATGAACCAGTTTCTATAAGGTTTATTAAAAAAAATCATATACTGAGATGAAATGAGGTAATCGAAAGGAAATCCTGAACCTAGGTTCCGTGTATTTGGCTGCCAATATGAAGGTAAACCTGTAATCTTTAGGGAAATGATGTTCCCTGAAGGATTCGATCCCAAGTCACTCAACTTCACAGTCACAGGCGTTCTCTCTGAGCTATCCGGGATGCGACTGACCTCCTGTAGGATTGATACATATATATATATATATATATATATATATATATATATATATATATACAACTGATTGATCACTGTTTAGTGATCACTGTGATGTGTGTCAAGTGCTTCTTAGTGCAGATGGAATTCTATCGACCGAGTTGTACTCTGGTCACTAGTCCAGGTGACTCGACATTGCGTGGAATATCTCATGGATCAATTTATTTCAACATATATAGATAGCTGTAAACAGTTGACTTGAAAGTATATGTTTTCCCAATTTCAGAACTGCATAATTTGTTAGGCTCGTTTGACGAGCACATATATAATTTTCATGGACTATTGAAGTTTGATCTGAATATGATGGATTCAGATTGTAACTGTTTATTACACCTTTTTATAATATTTATATAATCCTTGATTATTTAGGTAATCATAATCTAATCAAATTAGTATGTATCAGTTAGTTGAAAAGAAACATTTGTATTGTTAAGATTTTAATGAATCATTTACCTTAGTTGGAATCATTATTCATTGAATATTGATTGAATAAATTAGAATATGACAAAATATTTGACTCCAGTTTCTCATGATTGTGAATAAAACGATTTTTTATGATCAGTTCCTTCAAATAAACTTTAATTACATTGACTATAATAATGTCGGAACGTTTAATCTTCTGAAAAGACTTAAACCATATTTCACTAAATATTCATTACCTCAATTAAAGAACTCAACAATCTACACAATCCTATACTGAAAATTATCATGTACGTACTAGAAACTAGCTTCACAATGTATTTCCAGAAGTTCTAGTTAGAAGTCGTGACCAGTGAAATCCAACTGTGTTTATTTTGAGGTAGTCACTCACTGAAGACAATGAAGGACAGTAACGCAATATGGTGAATTGGTTGATGTTAGACATAAACACATTTAGTTAGTCGGCTCAGTGGTCTAGAGGCTGTGTTCACACGTGAGACTGAAGAACCTAAGTCCAAGTCCCTTTGGTGCGTGATCGTTGATGTGGACTGATCACGAATTACATATTGTGACGAAACGGCCGTCTAGTGTTTCTAAGCCCTCAATGGAGGTCTAACATTGTTCAGTTCGTGGTGTCAATTAAAAGTCTTAATAATCTCCACAATTCTATACTGATAAATATTATTCTGTAAGATGTGAAAAACCTTGATCCTGAATTAAAATTATATAAATGAATTGGCGATGGATTTTGTTCTAATATTTTTGCCTTATTGGATAGTGTTTATTACAAATCTGCTTACACAAAATGTTTACAATGGATTTATAAACAATTTCTAAGAAGGGGTTTTGTGAAGATTTCAGTAATTTCAATAGTTGAAATGAAGAGTCAATTGAAGCCAGACCACTATGGAAAACCTGGAAGCACTGGATGACCGTTTCTTTCTAGCATGAGACGGTGAGCAGTGCGCATCCATGATCCCGCTTCGTGGGATTCGAACCCAGGACCTATCAGTCTCGCGCACGGGCGCTTAACCACTAGACCACTGAGCTGGCATTCAACGGTCTAACTTCAATCAATCCACGTAATCGCGCCACCGTACACCATTGTCTTTAGTGAGCTGATATCTCACAACAGACCTGGTTTAACTCCACTGGTTGTGGCTTGCGTGCAAGACTGGTAGGTCCGAATCTCGGCGGGATCGTGGATGCGTACTGCCGAGGAGTCCCATACTAGAACGAGACGGCCGTCCAGTGCTTCCAGGTTTTCCATGGTGATCTAGCTTCAACTGACTCATGATTTCAACTGTTGAAATTTCTAAGAAGTTAGAAAGGACTGTTCTGGTTGATTTTTTAACAATCCATGAATACATTAAAGGGCAATATTAAGTATTAAATAGTATTTCACTTAATTTATAAAAATTATATATATAAACATTTTGCTTAAAATTAAGATCGTCTAACTAAAATTCCTTTTTAAAAAAAATAAGTATTTAAACAATGTTCACTGTAAATTTAAATGAATCCAACTTACCTTTCCAAGTTCAACAAAATTCGGATAAAGATTGTATGTGAGTAATGGTTCAGGTAACTGTATAATTATGTATATAAATAAACAGAAACAAAAAAATAGTGAAAAGTAAAGTAGACCTAAGTTTATTTTTAGTTGAATAAGTATAACTAATATTAACAATCAATATTGGACAAAGTATTTCATGTTAACACAAAGTTTGAAACATGCATTTCGTCAATTTTATAAATCTTTACTATAGTGTTAATGTTCATACCAGAATTCAAACTTAGTGTCTATCACTCCAAACTGTTAACATTTTGTCCATTAGGCTATTAAGTTCAGGTAACTACTCTGTTTAGACATGTTAGGGACTTAAGGATAGTATAGAGACAATCTATTTGAGACTCACATATCTGAAAACAGATTTATTGTCTGCAGTTCACAAATATTAACAATGGATAGATTCGAACCATTAAAACTAAAATATACCTCACTGTTTATATTTTAATAATTAAGCAACTCTAAAATTTGAACGAAATGAAGCTCATAATAAAAAAAATATCTGTATGTATGTTAAATAATTAATCAATTCGTTAGTCAGTTAAGTACTCAGTTGATTAAACACTCACTGAACGTTTACATAACATTTGTCTTTTTTTCTTTTGGAATTCCTTAAACAATCCCAGCTAAAACATCTCCGCAAACTGATTACTGAATGAGTTTTGTCTCATGTTGACCTAGCAACTGTTAAACAATTAACTTATAATCAAATTTTAGTTACTTCAAAAAATACTATTGCAGCTATATCAGTACATGATGAACTAATAAAAGTAATTTTTAATAACCACCCAAGTAGTGTTTTTTACTCGTTTTTGTATTGAACAGATAATTTTTATCAACATTCTACTTTATTTTTTTCACAATTATATGATGATAGCAATAATTTAACTAGAAAGTGGTTTTTTGATTATAATTTATAGATTGCGTTCGTCATGGATTGACTTTAGTTGTGGAAGCAATGAATATCATGACCCATTGAACAGCTTATAGCACTCCCAATACCCATAGGCTTGTTTATGTTTGGTTTTGTCAAGTCCTTCAGTTAACGTATTTAATAGACAGTGTTATTCGAACAGCACTAAGTTATGTATGTTGATATTATTATCATGCATGTATAAACACATAAGCTTGATCACATGTGACAGCCTACGCACAAATCCCTATTTCTAGCTTGTATGTTAATTCTGTAAGTTGCTTGATAAATCAATCGCTTTCTTATAAATATACGCTTGAATCTTGTTTATTCACTCGATTCTTTATTCAACTCTTAATTCGCTCGTTCGTGCACATTAGCATTTCTGCTCAAATTTGTTAAGCGTACTTGTAGCTAAGTCATATGTACTATTCATTAATAAAATGTAGTCGTGGCTTCGTGTTGCCTTTTCAATTCATATACCGTTAAAGTTTATTTAATATTGGTTATCGAGGCGATTAAAATATGAAGATTTAGGAATTACCTCGAAGATAATCTACTATAAAATGTTTCGTCCTGTTCATCATGATTGCGTTCTTTAAGTTTTACAGTTTCATTTTACAAAAGATTGTAAGCCATTTACAATAGTGAATGAATCCATTAGGTGGTTAATGTACACAGTATAAACATTTACATGAATTACAAAAATGGCAAAATAACGTCGTTCTATATTAACGATCACCATTTAAGGTTTTCATATCACTGACGTTTTAATAAAAATAAAAAATACCCTAAATTGAATTCTTTTTACTGCAAATTACATTAGTTAATAGTAATCTAGACTTCAACAGTGTTTTGCACCAAATAGTTCATCGAACTTATCGGTCAAGTTAAATGAGCCACGTGTTGCGTATGCCTGAATACCGATTACAACCACGCGCAATGCTGACTAATGTTGGGAATTGTTAGAAGAAAGTTAGTGCTGGCCAAACCAAAACATGGCACCAGTGATTGAAGTCACTAACTTCTAGTCTGAGACATGATGGTAGATAGAGACTACTTGGTTGAGGTCCGCGTGACTGTCATAATCAATGGTTGGAGACTTCGGATGACATACCTCAGAATCCATCATAATGGCGTAGGTGTATACACATTTTGTTTTCCCTTAAACTATGAGACTAAAATCACCTCATATCTTTCTTTCTACGAACTAACTCTTTCTTCCTTATATGCAATCTTTCCTTTATATATTACACTATTGAGTTAACTGCTTCTATGTATCCGGTGTTCATCTTGCTGTGCTAGTGTGGTCTGGCATCTTGGACCGACGCACATATGTGACTGGTCCTACGTTGTAACTGACTGTACGTTGTTAAGCTAAATCGATGTAAACTTATAATAAATGAATCATAAGACTATATCACTTTCAATAACAGTGGGAAAAGAATTTTATGAACCTAGAAAAAATAGTAATGTATGATTATAAGGTTGGATGGATGGTGGCTAGCAGTGAAATCCAGGACATATGTTTTGTCCTGTTTGAGACTGATCAGCTGGATGTGCCAGCATCCCAGTGAATATCAAGTGTGGGATGCAGGTAGATCCAGCTGACCAGTCCCAAATAGAATAAAACGCGCTTCCTGGATTTCACTGCTAGCCACCATCCATTCAAGATTATAATGCTTGTGACTTAAGGAAATAAGGAGGCGATTTCCACAGTATGCACATATGCCAACAAGGGACTGATCAGTTTTAGTTCTAAACATCAATGGGAAGATTTAAACAAACAATACAAAAACATTCGATGATTATGATGACTGCATGGTCATAAGGGTTTACACTTTGTTAAATTTTAATTCATCATTTCGAAAGGTTTAAAACAAAAACTGAAAGAAACCAAACGTTTAGTTGTTCCTGATATTCGATAAATTCTTCAGTATAATAATTAAGAAAATAAATTTTAGAAAATTCCAAAAAAACAAACAAAACACTTACGGCAATCAGTTGTGTTTTCACCAGACTAGCCAATGTAAGTGGATGTTCTTGACTTAACAAGTCGATATCATTTTGAATTTGTTCACTGCTAACTAATTGATTAGACTGTAACAAATCCATTAGATTAGAAACTTTTGCTTTAGACGCTGGTACACGATAAATTCCCTTATTATGCCAAAAAAATCAAACAGACAAAAACAAAGAATAACAACTGATATTTTGTAATTAAACTGTAAGATTATGATACCAAAAAAGAATAAGGTATTTCATTTATTAGGATGGGGGTTTGTGGAAGTTGTAGTAATTTCAATAGTTGATTTAAGCTAGACCACCATGGAGAACCTGGAAGCACTATAAGACCGTTTTTTCTTAGTATGGGATTTTTCAACAATTCTCATCCAGAATCCCACATGTGGGACTTAAACCAAAATCTTCGGTCTCACGAGTAAACACTTAACCTCTAGACCACTGAGCGGACTAACCAACTGTGTTTATGTCTAGCTTCAACCAACCCACCATATTGCGTAACCGATCTTCATTGTCTTTAGTGAGTAATTACCTCAAAACGGACACAGTTGAACTTCACTGGTCACGACTTCTCACTAGAACTCACGGAAATCTATCTTGAAGCCAGTCATGAGGAATCGTGGATGTGCACTTCTGTAGAGTCCCATTCTAGGGCGAAACGACTGTCTAATGCTTCCAGGTATTCAATGGTGGTCTTATTTATATCGACTTATGAATTCAATTATTTCATTTATACCAGGTGGTTCTTTAAAGAAATATTTTTGAATAACAAAACAATGTATTCCCCAAGAAAATAAATAAACAAATTAGTTAAGAGGGAAAATAAAGTAGAATCGGTTCAGAAAAATAAATAAATTGTATTTTATTTTGGTTCGTTTTTGTTGACATTTCAAGTTCTATAAATAAGATTGTTATTTAACTACTGATTAGTTACCGATTTTTCCAAGTTGATGTTGCATTTTAAGAAAAAAGATTAATTTTATCTTATAATTTTTATAAATTATTGATTGTTCTGCAGTGATGGTTGATATGTGTGTCTAATCTTTGGTAATGATAGAATATTATCGCTGAAGTTGTGAATATACAGATGTATATCGTGTGTCCTAAAAATGGATAGTTGAAGGTAGTCTGTAGGAAATATTAGACCTAGTTGCAATCTTCAAGGAAAAATGGTAGTTGTAGGATTCAAACCTAGATCACCCAGTTCACTGATCTGAAACTTTACGATTGAGCTAATCGACTCACTACTGATTTACTACAAGACTGAGATATTTACATTGATTGATTACTGATTAGTGACGAAAAGTCTTTTTCGTATGGTCTAATGCATTACTTGTGACTTAATGACAACATTGAAGCAATCCTCACAGAATTTATCTATGCCAAAAGAGACTAATCTAATGTAATTCAAACAACAATGGGGAAGATTCAAACAACCCATAAATAGGACATTTCATGGTGAGACTATAATTTATGGACGAACCAATCAGATATAAGATATCAGGTTTTGGATTTTAGCGCGAAATTCATTCATCCGTTTGGTCAAATACTGCTTTGGAATTTTAGCTGATGTCAATTCGTGATGCAAATCCTAAATCTAGTTCCTAACCCTAATCATCAACTGTAAATAATAATTTGGATTTCTCACACTGCTTCATAACCCTTATTTAGTTGTAGTTAGTAACCGGACATCCTCAAGGTCACTTTACCGTCACTCAATGGTCGTCCATAAATTATAGTCCCATTAATTTCATCATTATTTGAATTTACGCATTACTTCGTAAAGAGTAACATTACATGAAAAGAATAACTTCGTGAACATTTGTAAAGAGACAACAACTAGACCCTCAGAATACCATGTAACTGAGTAGAAAGGAATAGTGAAAATGATCTTTCGGAATTCGTATTGGTTCAAATGTAATTTCATGTGTATCACAAAGAAAAAACGCATGAAAAATTCTATCTGTTTATCAATTTCTAAAAGTTTTATATTTATCAATTCAGGTTGAAAGTTATCAAAATGAGCTATAACATTTGACAATATAATTACGAATTTCTTACTTACATGTGTCGCTAGACCATTTTCTTGTTTTTCAATCGCTGCAATACATCGGGCTACTGGATAACATGCTGATAAATATTCTCTTTCTAAATTAGCTTCATGAATAGCTATTGTTTCTAAATTATCTATCGGATTGATTGGTGGGACTGATGAATTACTAAGACTATTTGTTATTGAACGTTTATTACGTATCGATTTTTTAGAATCTGGTCGAAATAGATTAGATCCAAATTCAACAATAGTTGATAAAACATTACTACTTGTTGATACTATACCACTTGCAACTCCACAACCGCTGAGACTATTATTATTACTACTACTATTAGCAGTATTACCGATTCCACCACTACTACTACTTCCTCCAGTAATAACACCAAGACTTGTACTATTTCGTCCAGTTGTATTTAATGGCAAATCTGCTGTTTCTGTATCAGAATCAGAGTCTGAATGTAATGAAAGGAGATTACGATGTGCAGCTATCATAGTATATAAAAGAAGAAGTAAGAAAAATGTAGATAAATATGTCATGAGAGACAAGTAATTATAAATAAACAGTCTATAAAGTTTATTAAGTTAAAATAAAAATTATTTAACTATCTATATATTTTACATAGTTTGAGTTTTAACAGAAAAATATCTTGTATTAGGTTAATGCAAAGAATTGGATAGCATCTGTGATGCTTGATTGAATTGCTTATCATATGTTGGTCAATTAAAACTGACAGCAAGACTATAATTTATAAACGAACCAATCAGATATAAGAAAACAGGTCTCGGATTTTGTCGCTGAATTCATCCACTCATTTGATTAAATATCATTTTGACATTATAACTTATGTCAGTTCGTGAAAATCTTAACCTTAACCCTCAACTGTAAATCAAAATTCGAATTCTTCACGCAGGTTTATAACCCTCATTTGGTCCCAATTATTAGGTGGACAATCTGAAGCGTCGCTCAAAGGTCGTCCATAAACTATACTCTCACCAAACTGGCATAGTATATATTAAAGAAATTCCCTCTTGTATAATAAACAAAACATTTTATCGAAATAATCTATTCATTGTTATAGTTGATTTCATATTTATGTTTAGAAAAGGAGAGAGTAGTGAAAAATATGAAAACTTGAATGCGTATTTTCTAATGGATTGATATTTATTCAACAATGGTTTCAAGATTTTTTATTGCATTGACTACTGTCACATCTCATATAGACCGATAATAACAATCATTTTTAATTATACTTAGTTTTGTGATATAAATCTTTTAGTTATGCATCTATTAAGGTTTATGATAGTTTGATACTTTAATAATATAATAAAGTGATTCATCAAGATACTTTTAACCGCTCTTAATAAATTTTATTGTTCTGATTGGTTTGATAATTTGAGACTCTCTATAGCCTATTGTTCATTTCAACAGTATAAATAGTACTTGGGGAAAGTTGATAGAACGAGGACAGGATAAAGTTATTTGGACAATGCTGGCTGGTAGCCTATGCTTCACATTAGGTAACAGAAGTATATAAATAAGCAAATATTGTTTGTGTGCAACTACATAAAATAAATGAGTTGGTGCATTCATTGTTAAAGACATAGAAAACATAAAACTATTTAAGTAAAGATGGACAGTAACTAGCAGTGGAACCCAAGACGCCTGTTTCCTCCCATTCGGGACTCGTCAGCTGGATACACCTGCATCCAGAGTTGATGCTCACTCCGGAACTCGAACCTAGTACCGTTTGCTCCAAGCGCCATCACCTTATCCACATATCTACTGAGTACTAATAGCCACCTGCTTGTGCAATGGGATGAAGTTTAAATTCACTTGGTGTTGTTTTACTTGTATCTTCTCATTGTTATTTAGGACTGCAATTGATCAGTCTCATGTTAGAATATGTGCATTCTGTGCGGATTGCCTCAATGTAGCCTTAAGTCACAAGCTTTTTAAGCAGAGATGGGAAAATACAAGTAAAACAACATTAAATGAACATAAAACTATTGTTTATAAAAACTTTGTGAAATCAAGTGAACTTCTAAGTATCCATTGACAAATAATAAAATCAAATGTAAGTTATGAATATTTATGAATAATATAATGAATATGTAAATACAAATGTATTCCAAGTTATAACTTATTATTAATAAAATCTTCAACAATAGAGTATTCACCAATGATATTAGTTAAATGCCTTATCATTAAGAATGTTGACTTATATTACACATTTAAGTACATCTATTTGTTTCACTGGTTGAAATCATGAGTCAATTGAAGCTAGACCACCATGGAAAACCTGGAAACACTGGACGGCCGTTTCGTCCTGGTATGGGACTCCTCAGCAGTGCACATCCACGATCCCACACCCCGCGGGATTCAAACCCAGGGCCCACTGGTTTCGCGCGCGAGCACTTAGCCATTAGATCACTGGGCCAGCATCCAACGGTGTTAATGTCAAGACCCATTCTGATAATAACATCTATTTGTACTAATTAGAATACTATAACAAAATATATTTATAAATGTAATTGATTCCTTGTTACTTTGAAATGAATCCCAAGTTTCAATTTCATGTAGGGATTAATAGTACTGATTATGTTGTGTTTTAACTTAACAATTTCAAAACTATACTAACCAAATTATGTGTTACAAATAAATAAAATAGTATACTTTAGGGGAGACCCATTTTAATACCTCATTTTATAATATTATTAAATAAATCACCTCATCTGTCTTATAATGTTGTCTTATGTAATTTTATTTGAAATTCGATTTCACTTTTAAATGTAAAATAATGAATGACACGTTATGCTATTTTTCACATAGAAGTTTTCTCTAAAGTTTTTCTTTGTTATTTAGGCAAAGATGTGGTTTAATATTTAAACTATTCGACTAACAATAAAAATCAAGTGATATACTACTTAAATCGTTCATCATTAAATTTGTTTCAAGTAGTTAAGTAGGGTTACTTGTTGTTTTTTACAAGAACTATGCTTTTGAAAGTCAAATAAGTAAAGTTGTACAATTTACATTATTTTTATTGATGTTTTATCAAAAGTGTCTAATATTTTAACAATATCAACTAAACAATTAGTTATTCTTGAAGATCCTTTTATTGGTAAAATAAGCTTTTAATACTTTGAAGAAATCAATATCTACTGTTTAATAGCTTACCATTTCAGAACTCTGTTATGAACCTACAATACTTGCTCACAAACTGTTTTTAATTCGCTTTAAAAAGATAATATCTATGAGATCCATAATCAGAATGAGTATTGATGGATATTGTAATACTTTTATTAATTGAATTCATTAGTCGATCCAAGCTAGATCACCATTGAAAACCTGGAAGCACTGGACGGCTGTTACATCTTAGTATTGGACTCCCCAGCAGTGAGTACTGCTGGATTGAAGTTAAACATTGAAAGCGTTGATTGTCAGTTCAGTGATCTAGAGACCAAGCGTCGATTCGCACATTCAGAATCTTGGGTGTGCACTACTCACAAGTCCCATATCAGGACGAAAAGGCTGTCCAGTGCTTTCAGGTTTTCAATAAGATCTATCTTGACTAGTTCATATTGTCAAGTGAATAAGATGATCCAATAAATAAATGACTAGTTCGAATAGCTTCAACATTTTTTCCCTATTAAACCATGGGACCAAGTTATATTTTATAACATCACTCCATATTGAGTTTATCACCATAAAAGATGAAAATAAATGTTGTATAATTCGTTTTCATATCAAGTGACCAAAAGGTAATAATTTTGTATTTTCTTTATAAATAAATCAAAGCATATCAAATAACATAAATATGTGTAGAAAAGATTTACTTACAAAATATATCTAAAGTAGAGTCACCGGAATCTTTACCCAACCTACTTGTTAAACGACTTGTATCCAATCTATAAAATAAAAAAGAGAAACATTAAAAACTGTTACTGAAAAACATCTATTCATTTACATGATAGATTTTCTAAGTAATTATAATTTTTTTCATTTTACAAGACTTGGAAATGTTGTACAGTGAATTACTTAATTCATTATGAGTATCAATATTTCTGCAGAGTTTTGTGTCTGTCAAACCACGACAGAATTTGAATATATTCGGCCATAAATGCTACACACAGCGATACTAAATATCGAAATTTAACTGATAATGAAATGATGTGAGTTAAAGATGCATTACTGTATAATCCCTGTATAATACCTGCGCTTATAGACTTATGTTTTAAGTATTCATGTTATTATCCTTAGTGAACTGGACTATCTTTGGTTGAACCTTCAAGTATTGATTTCCAGAATTTTAAGAAGAAATACAGTTTGGTATTTTGAAAAAAATCTTTTTATTACAATAGATAGTTGACTTTTCAGGTTAGTTTAATGAAAGTAATCTGAATGAATATGGTGTATAAACTCTATTTAGACCTCGTATGTTCGTCACATATTTTCTAGTCAGGAGACTTCATGTGAATTAACATTAAATAAGTCAATGAGATACTTACTTACTTACTTACACCTGTTACTCCTCGTGAAGGAGCATAGGTCGCTCACCAGCATTCTCCATCCAACCCTGTCCTGGGCAATCCTTTCCAGCTCCTTCCAGTTGTAATTCATCCTTTTCATATCTGCTTCTATTATCCGACGTAATGTGTTCTATGGCCTTCCTCTTTTCCGCTTCCCTTCAGGATTCCAAGTTAGAGCTTGCCTCGTGATGCAGTTTGACGATTTGCGTAATGTATGTCCTATCCATTTCCATCGTCTTTTCCTAATTTCTTCTTCAGCTGGAAGTTGGTTTGTTCTCTCCCACAGAAGGCTATTGCTGATGGTATCCGGCCAATGGATGTTGAGTATCTTGCGTAGACAGCTATTTATAAATACTTGTACCTTCTTGATTGTGGTTGTTGTAGTTCTCCAAGTTTCAGCTCCATACAGTAGAATTGCCTTGACATTCGTATTGAAGATTCTCACTTTGATATTGGTTGAAAGTTGTTTTGAGTTCCATATGTTCTTCAATTGTAGGAATGCGGCCCTTGCTTTGCCAATCCTCGCCTTTACGTCTGCATCCGAACCTCCTTGTTCATCGATGATGCTTCCCAGGTATGTGAAGGATTCTACATCTTCCAGAGTTTCGCCATCAAGGGTGATTGGATTGCTGTTCTCCGCTTTGAATTTGAGGACCTTGGTTTTCCCTTTGTGTATACTGAGGCCTACTGATGCAGAGACTGCTGCTACACTGGCTGTCTTCATCTGCATCTGTTCGTGTGTACGTGATAGGAGGGCTAGGTCATCTGCGAAGTCCAGATCGTCTAATTGATTCTGAGCTGTCCATTGTATTCCGTGTTTTCCTTCAGATGTTGAGGTCTTCATAATCCAGTCGACCACCAAAGTCAATGAGATGAAATATGTATTTTTCAGATTACGAAATTTCTTGCTATCATAAGAGTTCAACATCATTTTTATGAAAGAGTATGGAAAATGTTTGCTTAGGAAAGACCTGAAATGCAAATCTGGTTAGTATTTTATTTTTCAAATTTCATTCACGATTGTTCAAGTAAATTTGTATTGATTAAGTTAACCAATATCAAAATCAGAATCTTCAATACGAACATCAAGATGCTGCTACTGTACGGAGATCAAACTTCGACAACTACCACAACTATCATCAAAAAGATACAATTATTTATAAACAATTGTCTACACAAGATAATCAATGTCCGTTGATCGGATACCATCACAAACAACCTACTGTGTGAGAGAATAAATTAGCTTGTAGTTGAAGAGAAAATTAGAAAACGACATTGTAAGTAGATAGAACATGAATTGTGAAAATCACCAGACTGCATCACGATGTAAGCACTAAGTTGTAATCCTGAATTGAAACGGAAAACCGGAAGTCGAAATAACTCACTTCGTTGAGAATTGGAAGCAGAGACCAAAAAGATGAATAGCAATTAGAAATAGATGGAAAGGATTGTCGAGGACCGAGTTGGATGGTGAATAGTGGTGGGTGTTCTATCCTTCTCCATGAGAGGTAACAAGCGTAAGCAAGCTAAATTACTGTATAGTATTGACAAATAATCAATTATTTTATTTATGTTTAAGGTAATTAGAGAAATTAGTAAAATGGCAGATCTCAGCTTACTGGGATCACTACAAAATTACTTAAGTTTTTACTGGAAACGATAACCACAGATGTATTTTTCTTAATCCCGTTCTCCACATGACCGTTGTTACCTAATGATTAATTGGAATCGCTGTTAGGTTGTTAAGTTTTTTTATGTGTCAACATTTTTCTAAAACAAAATATTCTCAGTTTTACTATTCTGTTTGACTATATCTTTTTCTACTACAACTACCAAGATTTCTTTCAATTCATGTATTTTTTATATTAGCAACAGAATATTGAATTGTTGTATACTGGTTTACATTACTGAATTACTTAGCAGAACCATTCGTATTTGAGTAACTTGATCTTTCTTAATTCCATATCTGTATTAAAAGTTCTTAATAAACTCAAAACATGTTTATCATATGAGATCAAATGTACTACAACAATATACAACTTAAATATAATTTAATTTTAATTGGAAGGATGAATAAATTGTCATTAACTCTGGGTTTATTATTAGAATCGTCTTTTAAACGAAAACAAAGAAAAAAAAAGACGATACAAAAAAAGAAACTTAGCTTAAGTTGTGTTATTTTTTCATTTTACATTAATTATATAATATTAATTAAATCTAAGCACTATAGTAATTAATTTTGCATAATAATGTATATATATGTTGATAATGAGACAAAACATCTGTCTATCTATTAACCTTTTTAAATTATCTTTCTTATGTCAGTCTTATTGTTTCTAAATATAAGCAAATCCATATAGAACCTTATCAACAACGACAACAACAGCAACAACAAAGAAAACATGAACATAAACAAATGGTTGTTAAGACCAAAAATATAATCATAGTTAATAGACATATGTGCTCTTTAAAAAGACGAACTGTATATTACGAAATACATTCTTATTTTATGTTTTCATTGTAAGAGAAAGAAAAAAAAGAAAACAATTGTAAGTAATTATTAAATATGATTTTTATTTAAAAACACAATGTCTGATATCTATGTATATAGAGATGAACAATAATAATTGAACATATTATCTTGTTTAAACATATGAAATGTTGATGACATCATATGAAAATTGCAACAACAACAACGAAAAAAAATAAAAGAGAAAAAAACAAACGAGAAAAATCTATCGCAACATTATTTATAGATGAAATAAAATTAGATATAAATAAATTTATTTTGTAGTTTCGAAACAATAAGGACAAAATAATAAAGTAGATGCATTGGTATAGTTTTGATTGTATGAATGATGAAGAGTTGATTTTATAATTAAAAGATATTAAAAGATAGTAGGTATCAAGTATAAATCTCTTTCAATCTATCCATCTACTTTAAAAGCGAATAATACTAAACTCTCATTACCTGAATACGAATCGAAACTGATCACGTAAATCTATACTTAGTACATCAATTAATATTGAATAAATAATTACAACGAACAAATCATCGAGCAATTGTAATACAGTAATATTGTGATGTGGGTTACTTCTATCCATATAAGTAGTATATAATGGTGGTCAGACATAGAATATATTTTAGTAGAAGGTCAATGAGGAACGAACGGGAACGGAACGCAATTAGTATGAAAACGCATGAACGATGGAATCTGAGATGATGGATTAATACTTTGCAAATTAACGATTTACTATATGGTTTTCAGATTTTATTGAGATGCACTATAGTTTTGTGCTCAAATACACTCAGTTGTTTCCACTCGTGTTCTTTATTCACTACAATATGAGTATTTTTTGTTGATAATCTTATCTTCGATTTTTTATTTTAGTTATATCAAATCTATTTGTTGATAGAAATTTTCTGATTTATAAGAAGTTTGCCAACCAGTGGATTATAAGACTTTTCTTATGAATACATTTTCAAATTCTTTAATTTCAGTATTAAACAGATGATGTATCTATCATTCATTTCTACTGTTTATTGTAAGACTTTTTAATTACGGTGCACTGAGCGAGAGCACAAATGAGGACAACCAAATATATTTTAGTACAAAATTACAAAATATCTTGGTAAAATTAAAGAACCAAACAGTAAACAACATCATTTGAAAAATATCAATCAATTAATTCAGAATTTATTGTTCTCTCGTTTCCATATCAATCACTTGCTGTTCTCGATCTGTTCTCTTCGATCTTCGTAATCTGCTGCTAGGCATTCTACTTTCGTTTGCTGATACATACTACTTATATCTGTCGACATCAGTAGCACATACCACAATGGTAAAAAGAGACATAAAATGTGTTAAAGTTGAACTTTATAACTGATTGATTGATTGACATATGAAAATATTTCTTTTTCGACTGTCTGTTTGTTATATACCGATTATCTCAGGCTTTTAAAGTAGTTCAGAAAATATTCTAAAAGTGGAGGTTATTTTTTGGCAAACTTACTGTTGTTACCTTTCATAGAAAAGCATAGAACGCCCACCACTATTCACCATCCAACTCGGTCCTCGACAATCCTTTCCATCTATTTCTAATTGCTATTCATCTTTTTGGTCTCTGCTTCCAATTCTCAACGAGGTGAGTTATTTCGACTTCCGGTTTTCCGTTTCAATTCAGGATTACAACTTAGTGCTTACATCGTGATGCAGTCTGGTGATTTTCACAATTCATGTTCTATCTACTTACAATGTCGTTTTCTAATTTTCTCTTCAACTACAAGCTAACTTATTCTCTCACACAGTAGGTTGTTTGTGATGGTATCCGATCAACGGACATTGATTATCTTGTGTAGACAATTGTTTATAAATAATTGTATCTTTTTGATGATAGTTGTGGTAGTTGTCGAAGTTTGATCTCCGTACAGTAGCAGCATCTTGATGTTCGTATTGAAGATTCTGATTTTGATGTTGACTGACAGTTGTTTTGAGTGTCATGTGTTCTTAACTGTAAGATTTCTACCCTTCCCTTGACAATCCGGATTTTCTCCATCAAGTGAGATTGAGCTGGCGTTTTCCGTGTTGTATTTGAGGATCTTGGCGTTTTCTTTGTGTATATTGAGGCCTACTGCTGCTATTTGTAACACACTATTCGAAACTATACATGGGCAGTCAGATATAACAGACTCTGGTACCACGAAATAAGTGTCACATAAGAAAATCATCATCGTTTCTGAGAGTAATTATTTAATTTTAAACAAAATATGTTAATAGAAATCCTACATAGCTCTCATAACCTCTTGACCATGAAACGAAGATCATATGTATATATATATATCCTTATTTATTATAAAGTTGATTCATATGAGGGCATAAAGTTAGGTATAGAATCATTGAAATCAGAATGAAATAGATAGCTTTATTCTTCAAACATAGTGCTCTTCACCAGTTAGTAGCTATAAAATTACATGCCAATTAGGTATTTTGGCATGTGCATTAACCTGGAGTTTACTGACAATGTATCGAGGTTAAATACTGTAGCTGATGGATTGAATTTGAAAATGTGAATGCTGAAGTTTATAGTTTTGATTCCAAGAGACTGTGTAATTGCTAGCTGCAAATAATCTCATATGAGATCAAAGCAGCTAACTAGAGCTTCTTCGTTTTCTTATTACTGTCTCAATAGAAGTTAATTCATGATTTGAACTACAGTTTGTCAAATTATATTAATATACAACTGAATCTTTTAAATATGAAAAACATTCAAAGAAACTATGCATATGTATAATCATTAAATTAACATACTTTGACTCATGAAATCCATCGAAATGATATTTTTCCGGAATAAATTCAGTACCTTTTTGAATATGTGATTCAACTAATGTACGATAATCACTACATGGTACATAATCTTGATAAGCATTTGCAATCATTTCATACTGATGGTGTGAAAAAAATATGGCAAACAAATGGAAAAACAAGAAAGCAATCAGAATCATAAATTAAACATAATTTAAACAAAACAATATGTACGTTACTATTCAAATGGAATATATAAACACATTTACGACACGAAAAATGTATCTTTTCTTTGATGATAATAATTGGAAATATTTTATTTAGATAAATTAAAGATTGTGTTGATAAACAATCATAGTATAATATTCGGTAATCATTTTATCGGTAAATGGTCATTGGCTGATCAAGTAATTCAATTGTAAGATTATATACTGTAAAACTAAGTGACATGGATTTGACTCCCATATCAAGTTTCAGTTTGATGAATAATTAGTATAACATCCATTTAATGAGTTTCCTGATGATTACTTTCAATCATTTAACACTAATTAAAGATCGCCGGACACTATTAGCAACAACCTAATGTGGGAGAGGACAAATAAGATCTCAGTGGAGAAAGAAATCAGGAAGAAGCGCTGGAAGTGGATAGGACACACATTGAGAAAAACACCCAACTGTGTCACAAGACAAACCCTAACTTGGAATCCTGAAGGCTAAAGGAAAAGAGGAAGACCAAAGAATACATTACGCCGGGAAATGGAGATAGACATGAGAAAAATGAACAAGGGTTGGATGGAACTAGAAAAGAAGGTCCAGGACAGAGTGGATTGGAGAATGCTGGTCCGCGGCCTATGCTCCATTGGGAGTAACACGCGTAAGTAAGTAAGTAAGTATGTAAGTTAAAATAATACATTTTAATATATGAAGGTCAAGATGTACCTAATTTTCTTTTTAAAAAATTAGAAAAGTTTTTGTTTACAGTTTAACAGCTTATTAATATTTAGTAATGATATTGTTAGTTATCATTACTGAATGTAATAGTCTATATAGTCATAACTGTTTCAATCAAAGAAATGGATAAAATATTCATTAACTATTTTGTGATAGTTTCATACTGCTTTATGAAAGCTTACGACAAATAACAGTTTTATATTATAAATAAATCATTTAAAGAATTATTCTATTCATTTCATATATATACAATATTGTTATGGGAATTACTACTTATAAAAGTATTGTCCAGAAAACTTGTTTAAACTTCAGATAAATAATCATAATCAAAATTATTAAAGAAATATATCATATTTATTAAGCAAATCAAATCTATATTAAGTGCCTATCTAAACATATTCAGTTGTTAACTTTAGTAAGTAGGATAACATGAGAATTATGTGAAAAGTTCACAATATGAAGATAAAGGGATGAATGATTGTGTGTGTTAATGCATGTATAAGTTTGAGTTACTAATAATAATATGTGTGGTGTATGCTACTTATGCCAACAGAGATAAGTAGTATGTTGAAGAAAATAGGAGGGATAGAAAGCAATTGTAAACTGGAAGAACCATACAAGAAATGCTATCTAGGTGATCAACAAGTAATACAGTTGTATCTCAATATGATTCGTGGAAGTCATGGTAGTCAGAGGGGTTAGGGTTTAACTTTGATTCTTCTAAAATCATCATCATAAAAAAAATTTAAAACTCGGTAAATAGTTTAACTCTTGGCTTCTTTTACATTCCAGATAGCTTGTTCTTCATTAGGATTCCAAATCTAGCTGAATTAACCAACCAGTTAAAACTATAAAGACTAGACAGTTGTATCATTTTCGTACAGAGCTCCTGAGCTTTGCATACATACGACTTCATTAGAGATTGAAGACAGAACCTACAGTTCTCACAGGGTAGGCCTAACCGTTAGACTGCTGAACTGGCATCCAAGGGTTGATATATCTCATCTCAACTAATCAGCTGTATTTTAGAATCATCATCAATTGTCTTTGAATGAACAACTGTTTGTCATTCAAGAGAACTGAATTCCACTGACCACAACCTCTGACTAGAGCTCAAATAATTGGTTTTTAAATGATTATTCATTTCGTGATCTCAGTAACATTCAGCAGTCCTAATAAACCTTACATAGTAATAATTATTAATTATTAGTTCATTATTAATTATGAACATTTCAAATTATTTTAATAGTTATAACTGAATATAAAATAAGAAAAACAAACAAACAATGAATCCATTTTATTCTTTGTACATATCAATATTGTTACTTCATAAGTGCTAGAACTAGATATTAAAATCTTTGTTATTCAGTTACTTACAATAAGTTTTCAAATCATTTACAAATAAATTACATGCTCAATATAAATGATACAAATGAAAATTGTTAGAGTCAGTTGTATAGTTTTGATAATTTACCTGTTTTATCATTAATGAACGAGTTGTAAACAAATGATTTAATAATTCCGCTAAAGAATCTTTAACAACTTCATCACTTTTTGTTATGGTTAAACGTGTATCGCATAAAATCTCAATCTATAATTTTTAAAAGCAACAATAAAGATCAACATTATTATCAAAATAATAATAATAATAATGTAAATCATTGTTCAACGATTGAGTAATAATGAATTAAAACAGTATTTTTGTTAACTAATGAACATAAAACAAAATATATTGACAACAATTAGTTGATTAGTGTTAGTGTTTTTTCATTTGTTTATGATCAGAATGTAAATCTAGAGATTAGGCGTTAGCGCACGACACCGAAGTTCCTGGTTTCGAGTTTCATATGCAGGGTCGTGGATGAGGATTGCTGAGGAGTACCAGAGTAGGATGAAACGGCCATTCAGTGTTTTCAAGTTTTCGATGGTGGTCTAACATTGGTTCATTGATGAATTATTATCATTTATAACCTCCTATTATGACAGAATGTAAGTTTTCTTAAATTTCAGAACCATATCGTTTTTGCATTGTTGTAATCTTTGGGCTCATAGTGAATGATTTAAAGTCTTTTGTTTGAAATCAACGCTACAGACTGTGAACTATAGAAGGAAATCTTATTTTTCAAGTTTTGCTCTACTGATTACAAATTCGACTATAAACTACATAATAGAGCAATACACTTCAAAGAACACAACATCAAACATGTGTTTTAGCTAACTGTGAACTAAATTTATTTATATATGATATAGAGAGCAAAAAACATTAAACAGATTATTTTTCTCTGAATGAAAACGTGTCACTGATATAGAGATCGCTATATGAATAAGTCATATATTAGATGAAATCAGTACTTTTTAGTTCCTGTTTGTCAACCGTACTTTAGCTAGACTTAAATCATGAAAAATAGATGTTTTACACACAGATTAACTCTTTACAAACTAATCGAATGAATAACATTACTGATAACCACAGACTTCTGTTCTTGACTAATTTTATGATGTTTTAAAAGAAATATTCAATAGAAAAAGGTCTATCAACTTTAAAATGATAGATGATAGCTTATCTACTAAGATTAAATTAATCTATAACAGCATAAGACCTGATACAATTGTGCAGTATTTAACTAGCTGAATTTATGGCAATAAAAACAAGATATTAACACCGTATAAAACAAATGATTTAGCATAAAAAATATCAAAGGCTTATGAAACGAAGCAAAGGGGGGATATAATTCAAATCAGGAAATTTAATGCTTAAGATGACTTGAAAATCAAGATGGAAATCATGTGGAAGAAAAAGAGCGACTACAAACACTTCGTTGCTGTCGACTTCAAGTCATATTATCTTCAGACACACTTTTCAACAATTACGTATTGATTCACTTTCTCAATAAATGACCTATATGATTCAATTGAATTAAGCGTGATACAGTTCGAATCACTGAATACAAATGAAAAATCTATCATTTCATGGGGGGATAAAATTAGAAAATTTAAAGTCAGGATCTGAACTTTATGTTTTCAAAAAAAGAAGGAGAGGTGATATGATGGAAAGAAAAGTTAAAATTCGTTTGATTTACTCATTATAAGTTTTGTTCAACATTATTACCGTTTTGATTCAATGTAATGATTACTCAATGTAGTATTCGGCTTTGTTTTCTCGTATGATATTTTATTCTGTATAATATACGATATTCTTGTATTCCATTGAAATAAACTATGCTCAGTATGTGATTTCTTATAACTTTATGTATTTTTCATATATGTGATTTCATCCTAATTATTAACCAAAATGGGTGTACAGCCAATATATAAATGAGTGTATTTTCGACTAGAGTCGTCGTGTTTTGGGGTTAATAAATCATCATTTATACCAGTCTTTGTGTTCTTACTTTCGCGTCGTGTGAATTGCACAGGTCCCTCGTTCCGAGTATAAGTGACAAGCGTTTCCGACACAACAATCAGCGACAACCAGACATAACAAGTACCGTCCAGTCCGAAAGACTTATCAATGGCGAGAGGGATTTCGGAAAATATCCACAAGACTTATCAAAATAGAAACCAACCATTGGGAAATGTTTTCTAATGTCGAATGTTTTTATGTAATGGTTTATACTTCACATCAATAATTATTAAGACAAATAAAATCATATACTTACAATTCAAATAAATCGCTCATAGAATTTATAACTTTTAATGACTTATGTATAGTTTAAATGTTTAACTATGGGTTTTTGTTTTCTTCTATCAAATGAAAATTTGTAATATACACATTGATCTACTAATACACAACATATCCCAAATAAACTAATTAATATTTACAATAATTTACAAAATTGGATTATATTAACGAAAAGAAGTTTTTTCTATTACGTAACATGTTATGTATGATTAATGAAAAAGGAAAACCTGACAAACATTATTATTATCAGAATGGGTTTTGTGGAGATTTTAGAAGTTCCACTGGTTGAAATCATGAGTCAATTGACCATCATGGAAAACCTGGAAGCACTGGATGGCCGTTTCGTTCTAGTATGGGACTCCTCAGCAGTGCGCATCCACGATCCCGCCCCCCACGAGATTCTAACCCAGGACCTACTAGTCTCGCGTCAGGCGCTTAACAAACCAGACCACTGAGCTGGCCGGCATCCAACGGTGTTAATGTCTAACATTGATTATATTAATTAAATAATATTTATAAGTATAGCCATATATCTAAATTGGAAGAGAATAGACTTATATCATTTTTAAAATTTGTAAATAGTTACAGATATTTGATAATCAACGAATTCATAAGGGTTATAATATTTAAATGATAAATGAATTAATTCAATATTAATAAATGACATGTAATTTTGTGATGATCTATTTCGAAATTTGTACATTATCTTTTTTGTTTAAACACAATTCCATTTAATGTTTCACATTGATTTATCAAGGCTGTCTAAATATCATTTTTAGCTTTGGCTAATTACCATATTGATTTTTATTATTTTCAAGAGACTGGAATGATTAACCGTTATTTATGGTTCCTAAAAAATGATCATAGTAAAGTTATTAAAGAAAAATATATATTAATTGTTGACTGACTAATGACTGACAATGTCTTTTTTGTTCAGCTTTTTATATTGAACTGTAAAATGTTATTGGAAAAATGGAATAGTGGTGATTATATTGAGGAAAGAGTTAAGGACGATGTTAAAGTGATTATTGAAATATATTGAGTTACTTTGTTCAAATCTATGTTTCTTAGCACTTCAGTTTTCAAATCAACTATTCAGGATGATTTGTGATAATATATAAGAGTTGATTAAGTATACTTAACTGATTCATTACTGACAATAAGTAAGGTCATTGTGGGATTGTGGAGATTGTCAAGTTTTTGATTGAGATCATGAGTCGATAAATTTTAGACTACCACTGAAAATCCAGAGGCACTGGATGGCCTTTTCGTCCTAGTGTAGGACTCCTTATCAGTACTCATACACGATCCTACACACGAGATTCGAACCCAGAACGTTTCATCTCTAGATTGTTGAACCGGTATCCAACGGTGTTAATGTTTAACTCCAAACAATTCACGAAATCGTGCGAACAACTTCCATTGTCTGAGGTAGACACCTGTCTCTACGTGACACGGATTAGATATTAGGTTTTAGTCCCACGCTTTGGACCGTGGATGTGTAGCGCTGAGGATTTCTATACTGAGACGAAAAGGCCGTCCAGTGCTTCCAGGTTTTCAATGGTGGTCTAACATTCATCGATGCATGATCTGAATAAAAGAGTGAGCAAGATGTTTGACATACCTAATTTATTAGTACTAACCAAAATATCTTTTAGTTTTCCTTATCTAGTATGTGTTGCAAGATAGGTATATGATATACTATTATAGCATTAAACTAATCTAAATCATGGATACTGACAGTTAATCAGTTTATTGTTTTTATCCATTAGTATCCGTCTTGTTTAACACTTTAATAACAGATTTTATCCATGTTATTTACGTTGTGATTGGTTGATGTCAAAAACCATTTGTGATCACCACTTCCTGGTCAGATGCTTGAGTTAGTCTTCGTTATTTGCAAAAAAACTATTAGGATATAAAGACAGTTTTTATCCCTACAATACAGATCAATAGACTATATGGTTTTTCAAGATATTGGATCGTTGGATGATTGAATATAGTTGACGAAAAACACAGCACTTTGGTTTTATGTTGGTTGACATTCGTCAACGAAGTCTAACTACAACCTTGAGAAAACTGATGATCCCTGTGAAGGGAGAAAAATCGTTTGTTTTGAACATTGAATATCGGAACGGTATTGATTTTATACTCAATTTTAAAATATACACATAATGAAGAGATAACCACAAGAAACTTTTTCTCACTCAAGCTGTAAATTAAAAATAATCACTAAATTAGAATGAATATTGTCATAGGTAAGTTCAGTATAAGCAAAAACTGTTTTAATCTTACAAGAAGAGGGGAAGCCAGAATTTTCATACGGCTGAAATTTCATTTTAAAGCGAATTTATACTACTCTATGAAATCTGAGTTTTGATCAGAGATATAACATTTTGTGACTGGGTGTCGAGCGATTAACATGGACGGACATTTATCACTACTTCGTAATTCATTCTTTAAATCTTTAGCTTTCTGGTGTTACCTTATTACATATGCATGCTTTCTTACCTATAAAATGTGGTCAATCATCTGTATGTATTCTTAACCAGATACACGTGTAAAATCGGTAAAAAATAATGGTAAATGACACAAAGATGCTCGTAATTCTCATGCTGTTGGATTTTTGTAGTTTTCAATCTAAATGACCATGACTAAATAATAAGTTCGACTGACCGCTGATCAAAATATCACTTCTAATTTGTGTGTTCGTTTAAACATGTTTCTCCACATCCTAAAATAAACTTGATCTTAACTCAGTAGAACTAATCAATCACCTGACAGATTTTAATGAATATCCATTTTGTAGCTATGTTTTATTTAATAAATTCATCGTATATTTTTATAATCAAAATATTCATAATTGTTATTCTTATTCTTCCATAGTGATTAATTGTTATTCAAGGTTAGAATCCTTTGTTATTATAGAAAAAACTGAAAAAAATATTAATAAATACTTAAACAAAGTAAAACGATTTGTTTTTTTTCTTTTATAAAACCTAATCTTGCCCCTGGTACGGCCAAGTGTGGGGAGAGTCCGCTCTCCCTCTCGAAATGCTCTCACATGGCCACGCTTATATAGCCTCTACCAGGGAAGTCCTAATCACTCCCTCCTCGTGGCGGGGGTGTTGTTTACGAAAATGAGAGAACGAAAAGCGAATGTCCGGCGCTTTAACCGGATTCCAAATCAATGGTGCACATGGACTTCAGTATCCTGCGAGCACAAATGGCGTATGAACCAATTGTTGGTCACCGGCTACCATGAGACTGCATCTCCTTACGATCCTCCACTGCCTTGTGGATCAGACCTTCAAGTCGAAGGCTCGGGGAGTGGTCCCCTAAGAAAACCACCCGCTTCGGTTTGGGCACCCGGGCAGTATCACAGCCCTCACATATATCGAATGAGATTTGTGTGGCGCATATGTATTTGGTGCCTCCTTGTACCAATATCTATGCGTTAAAATAAATAAATAAATACACTTATAATCTACCTTGCTTTTTTCCAGTTCACATAAACGATGATTTGCAATATCTACCGCTTCACGATAAGCATACATCAGTTCAATTTCCTGTTAGAAAAAAACGAAATTGTATAATACATCACAAACAAGAATTGTTGTTTTCATTTTCGTTTTTAGTTTTTGAAGAAAAAATATAGTAAATAATAAAGATACAATAAAAACATATGAACACATTGAGAATCTAACTAGTTTACAATTAAACACTGGTTTATAATTGATTATTAATTGTGAATAATTCAACATGTAATCCACCATAATCGGTCTGAGTTTCTTGTTATCTTATGTTTATTATAATGTTTGACCTGTACTACTAAGGGAACTTACTATTAGGAATATTTTATTGCTTGACAATCAGATTCTCCATCTTAAACATAACTACTTAGCTATCTTGCTGTGATTGGTTTCATATACGATTCATACATGCAATGATAAGTCACTGAATGATGACCATAATTATGTTTGTCAAATTCATTTTTATGCTTATCGAATTCTATCTTTCAAATTACCATTCGAGTACTGGTTTATGTGACTAGACATCGGTTACAGTAAATTGAGCGAAATTATTAGTACTTATTATGATTGTCATTATTTACCTTTTTATCATTATCACCTAATTGTTTTTCTAATCGTTCAACTTTTACTCTTTGTTTAGCAACTTGGTTTGATGTAGAAGTTGATAATGATGAAGTTGGATTTGATAGATTTGATTCACCAATATTTGAATCATTCATAAAATCTTGTGTTAAATTTGCATTACTTCCAGTAGTTGAGTTCATTAGATTCGATGAATATGAATTCCCAGCAGTATAAACAGGTAGACCTAAAAAGATTTTTTTTACACAATTATCTATCATAATTAAATAATTCACCTGATACATTTGTTTGTGTAGGTGGCATTATCGTAACAGATGAAAATGATGATGATGGTGTTGTTCCTGTTGATGTAGATGTACCACTAAATGAAACTGACGATGATTGCATAAGAGAAGCAGATAATTCATTTAGAAGATTTTGTGCTGTAGCTAATTCTTCACGTAATTTTACACCAGCTTGACAACGTTGATAATATGTTGTTTTTGTTTTAAACAAACTATTTTCAGCATCTAACATACGTTTTACATCTGCTTTCCATTTGTCTTTAAGAAATTTCCTGGTTTTTTCAAATAAAGTACGTTGACGATTTAATACCTAAATATGGAACAATGAAAGTCAATCATGTTAAAAACAATACTTTAAAAATGAGAAAGAATACTTATATATATATTTGACAGTTTGGATTTTACGAACAAATAAATATTTAGAAAAGTCCGGAAGTATTTTTATATCAATTAAGAGAGATTTACTAGGTCAGAATTACTGACAAACGTGAGGGGGAAACATGTCAAAGAATTTACAAAAGTATAATTCTTATACAATATTTCTTTTATATTGGCAAAACCTGTAATCGACTTTTATTTGCTGTAACATAAAGTTTAAAAGTTTTGAAATAAAACTGATACATTGGTAATTTTCATTTATTGAAGTAGAAATGTTTCAGAAGGGGTTTTGTGGAGATTGTAGTAATTTCGATAGTTGAGATGATGAGTCAATTGAAGGTAGTCCACCATGGAAAACCTGGAAGCACTGGACATCCGTTTTATTCTGATAGGTCCTGTGTTCGAATCCTGCGAGGCGGGGTCATGGATGCGCACTGCTGTGGAGCGCCACAACAGGACGAAACAGCACTCCAGTGCTTTCAGATTTTCCATATTTGTCTAGCTTCAACTGACTCATGATCTCAACTATCTAAATTAAAAATGTTTCATTTAGTTATTTAACGTTAGTTAACACGTTAATACAGAAAATAAGGTATGTTATAACTGAAAAAGAAATTCAGTCATTAAGGAACAGAGTTTGAGAGAAATTGATTGTAGATATAAATGGTTGAATTTTAAATGTATGAATTTTGTAAAAAGACATTTTATATTAATCATCAGACTAAGCTACTAAATCATGAAGTGTCTTTCACTTTACAACGTGGCTAAAGTGACAATTACAATTCGAGTTTTATGTACAATGTCTAAAATACAATTGTTTTTCACATCATATATTGACCTGAATTATGTTATTATTTTCATCTTTTGGTAGTGCTTTTTTCGAAATACTAAATCTAAGATGAAATCAATGTGAGCGTTTATTTTAATATTGAATCACTTATTTAGGAGCTTAATTGATCACTTGGTGCATAACAATAATCAACTTCACTTATGAATTATAATAAAAGACTTTTAAATAGATGTGACTGTGTTTATGCAATTCTAAGATAAAAAAGATGTGTTTATACGCTATAATCGCAAATATAGCTAAACAGACTGAATGCTTGAGTTCTTTCCAGAACATACTTCATATTTTAAATATTTGTGTTAAACATAGAATTGTGAGAAAAGTATTTAAGGAAACTATCCCTCGTTCCGACTAATCTGGCAAGCATCGGTCAGGGAATAAGGCAATAATCAAGCCAAACTATTTAGTTATACCTCAAGACTGGATGGTTTACGAGGTATAGTAATCAACCAATGTTAAAGGTAAAAAATAACAAACAACCAGAATAGTTCAATATTTATTACTGACTAATAGTTCAAGATTGTTTCTGTAACCGCTAAATATAATATTAAAAGATCATTTACAGTCTTTAGAAATCTGTTGAAGTAACAAATGGATGGTAATGAAAACGATGAAATATCGATAACCAGGAATATAAGGGAGATAATAACTTGAGATGATTTTATGGTTAAAATTTGAATTTACATATATAATTACGTTACGTTTTATACTTGGTTTGTTGCCCGAACCAGCTTACATTTTGTTCACAATTTTAAATGTTGAAGTTAATGTTGTTGTTAATGTTTTTTAGTCTATTGCAATATCGATCGAAATTCAATCGGGTCACAGTCTTGTGAATTTTACAGTGTAACACAAAATATCATTTCAAACATAATGAGTAGTTACAAATTACATGTTATTCACCAATGAAATGCAAAGCATATAAATTCGCTCAACTACAAATATAAAAATATTAGAATTACAGCGGGAATTTTTTACCAAATGTAAAAAAATTAATGGTAATGTCCAACACATAATGTAACCAGATGCCCAGTTCCAGTGAAAAACCATGAATAATGAAGTCCGACCATGTGAATGAGACAAATATCACTAATGACAATGGACGAAGGTCGTATGATATTGTAAGTTGACTGAAATTATGATTGTAAACCATTGAATACCAACTTAGTTGTTTAAATATTAGCTGCTCATTCCAATGTCTAATTGTACTGGGTTTAATCTCTAGTGAAATTGATAATGAGTATTGCTAAAAAGTCTCATATATAAAACTTATCACTGTTCAATAATTTTTGGTTCTCAACTGTTTTTATTAGTTCAGTTCATAATTTACATTACAAAATTGTTCAGCTATTAGTTTAAGCTGATCTCATCTAATGTAAAATTACTTTAATTCAATTTGTTATGATTTAATTTATCCTTTTATTAATATTTCAATTTAATTACAATCAATCTTCATTTTCAGATATGAATCGTATGAAAATTGCCTTGATATAATTATAACATCATAGGTTCATGTAGTTGATCAATTCCAAAAGTAAATGAAACATACAGCCTAGTTTTATTCACCAATAATCTTATATTATTCATTATATATATATAATATTGTACAAGGCGGCCTGCTTGAGCATCTGGGCTACCTGTTCCTGCCATCTAGATATTTCGACAAGTTATCTATATTTGTTTGTTTTAATATATCATTATGTCTATTAATCGCACAACCTATTCTGCTGCGTTTCTGAAAAGTGTACAATCTTTCGTTGTCAAAGTTACAAAAAGCTCAAAAAGAGAGAATATTGCTGCTGGCAATATACAACGAAAAGAATGTACATTATTCAGATATTCATTTACTGGACTGTTAACATCTAGCTGGCGATCACTCAGTATTTATCGTGAGGACCGACCAAGAAGAAAGAAACGGAAACTTGTTGAAATACTTTGTGCTGAGAATTCTATATTGTACCAATAATATAATATTGAATAAAGCTTATGATAATAAATAATAATAATAATAATATATATATATATATATTTATAATTGACTAATTAAAACTAAAATCTATTTTATTATTAAAATACCTTTATATATTTGTTCGCTTAAAACAATAATAATAAGCTAACAAATTGTACTGAATTATCATTCAACCAGTTATTTAATTAATAAATAAATAGAATAGAATAGAATAGAACTACAATATACAAACATGTTTATTTTTATAATAAAAAATCAAATATATTTCCTTAAAATATAAACATTGATCGATAATATTTAGAAAAAAAAACAATAATGAAAACGAAACCAAGAAGAAAAAAACAAAAAAGTGACTTGACTGGTTCATAATATGAATTGATTTTTCTCATTGAAAATTGGCGCCAATTGAATAGTATAATAAAACAAGTGACATTTATCTGGAAAAGTTTCTTTAGTTTAATAGTCGAAACAAAAAAAGCACCCCAATAGTTTAATGTGTACTTATTCAAGTAAAGTTTATTTCTAATAATAAATGACATGTAGAAATTGAATTATTCCACACAACAACAAAAACCAACATCATATCTTCCAATCTTAGATTTAATATTTATACAGGTTATTAACCAAACCTTAAAGTATACTACTTAAAATGTTACTACATGTAAAATGTATGGAATAATGAAAGTTTTTTTTTTCTTTTTTTTTAAATGACTTCACTACATATTTATTGGTAAGCACTTATATTTGTATACAGTTATTTTTTTTCTTTTCTTATTTTAATAATGGAATAAATAAAACTGTAACCTAATACATAAACACATTAACCTTTAGGAAGAAAATCAAACCTGTTTTTTTCCTTTTAGTATTATTAGGATAAATAGTAATATATACATATATATACAGGGAAATATGCAATAGAGTATTTCAATTATATAAGCAAATTGTTCTGTATATATATATATGGATATAGCTAGGTATACAGCTGAAATAAAATGATTATGTAAACGATAAAAAAATGCATGTGTTCATATAAGAAAAAAAATAATGCACATAAGATCATATAAATATATTCTATGTTCATATATATATATATGTGCTAAATATAAACTTATTAGCAGCGATCTCACCAGCACTAACATTTGTCATTTGTTAAGAGGTTAACCTGTTCAAAAAAATCAATGACGATAACTATGTCAGATATTTAAATCTTTAGATATGTGTTTTTACATAATTCTGTCCATCTGTCTACTGAATAACTAAAGAATAAATATATATATATATATATATATATATATATATATATATATATATATATATGCATAGGAACAACGATAATCGTAGCACCCATGATCTAGCTAACAAGTAGGCAAGCAATCATGAAAGCAAACGCACAATGCTTCTATAGATACATTATAAATTGTACTATTTCAAAATTAGCTACTATATATATACATGGATATATCTATAAACATAAACAGATTCACACATATTTACCCATACATGTTATTTAACAAAAGGGGTAAGCTATAAGACAGCATAAAATGTTTCAACAAAAATTCAAGGCAAAAGTTACGATATATATATATATATATATGGCGAGAGAATGTGTGGGGACGGTTAACAAATAAGCAGGTAGATAGGTATAAAAACGATAAAAGTATTTGTTTGCGATCAATATTCGGTTTGAATGTAACAAAAGAATGAAATTGCTTTAAGTGTTATTTGTTATGCATACGAAAATATATTCATTATTATGAATTACAGTAGTAACTGTGGTTGTAGTATTAATGTTGTGAACGAGAACATAAGTGAGGACAACCAAAACTTATTTTAATACATTTCAGAATATCTTGGTAAAATCTCAGAACCAAACAGTAAATACTTCATTTGCAGCATGTCTATCAATTGTCTCAGACTTTGTTGTTCCTTCGTTTCCATACTAATCACTCACTGTTCTCGTTCTGTTCTATTCGATTTTTCTCAACCTTCTGCCTCCAGACATCCCACTTTCGATTAGTGATACATAATACTTATATCTGTCAACATCAGAAGCACACTCTACAATATCAACGTGAAATAAAATTTATCGTTCAATGTATTTAATATAATCAGACAACATGAAATGATTATAATGTAAGATATTTTGCACGAATCTATATTTATTCATAAGATTTGAAAGTTTAATTAAATTACAAATACAGGAATATTCCATCTACATTGAAATGTTAATATAGTGATAAACTAGAAACAGATGAAGTTATTTAACCACTGTCTAAATAAATGAAAAAAATTGTCCGATACAAATTATCTTTCGGTTAAGAAAGTCGATATTTTAATCAGTATAGGGCTGTGAATACTGTTAAATCTTGTAGAAAAATTGTGACTAATCAAAATCAACTGTATCATCTCTGAGGTGTTTTTCAACTAAAGACAATCGGAGAAGATCACGCAATACGTTAGTTGGATGAAGTTGGACGTGTACATCGTTGAATACCAGCTCCGTGGTGTTGAAGTTAAACATTTGCGTTTAAATCCACCTATTTTGGGGGTTTGATTCCTGGGTCGTAGATGCTCACTGCTGAGGAGTCGCATACTGGGACAAAACAGTCGTTCAGTCCTTCCTAGTTCTTAATGGTTGTCTGTTTTAGATTGGCTCGTACTCTCAACAAGATATTTCATGTCGGTTAATCGGTTTATTGCTATTTTCACCAATGTAATGGAGACTATAGTACTCTCCACTATTCTGAACTTTGACTAATAACAGTCCAATGACTTACATTATCACTCAGATGACATCTAAGGAGTTTTAATTTACAAATATATCATAGTTCCTCGATAAAACTATGTTTCATACCACAGAACTGTGCAATAAAATGACTATATTTTCACTTTTTTCATCACTGAGTTAAAACAAACGTTTTTGGTTCATAAAATATAAGGATAATGACAATTTATGTTTATTGTAAAGCTTTTCTAACCTAGTTTACCTAAAAGAAATGTTAGCTATGTCTTAATTAAGACGATGTAAAACAACACCAACTAAGAAACCAAATAGAGCGCAAATGTGATGAACATTGGGATGGATTAATATACATATGACTGGATCATGCTCATCTACATGCCTTACTTTTAAGGTTATTATTTTGTTCATCTAACCTACAAATCTTTCAATTAGTTCTCAAACATGATATCACATATAATTATTTCTGGATAATATTTATTACATTGTATCAATTTTCGGCTAAATCCATCCCACTTTATCAATTATTACAACTGACTATTTGATTTCTTTCATTTTACTTATATGTTAAACTTATTCTCGCTGGTATAATATGACGTCATATATCTTCCAGTTTTGTAGGAAGGTTGTAAGACCTGATTAGTTTAGTTAATATCGCCTTTCCGATTAATAATATATATATATATATATATATATATATATATATATATATATATATATATATATATATATATATATATATATATATATATATATATATACAATCCTTTAAATAGCTGTTCATATTTATCCATAGATCATATAAGAATGTACATAAGTTATTTGAACAAATAGTATTATTATCAACTATATGTGGATGTCATTTCCATCAACTTGGACTAATGAAACCTAGGAGATTATAACAAAGCAAATCAGTATATAATGTTTTAACTAATGTAAGATTTCAATTATGAAGATCGAATTGTTATGAAATAATAATCATCACCCTTATTCAACTTCTAATCTATCGCAAGAAGCTTTGTTTAATTCATTAAAACGAAACATATAAAAATGCAAAGACAATTATATTACTAATCAGTGCACTTATCATTAAATTAATTATTAATAACTATACAATTTGAAATGTGAACAGTGGAGCTAATCCATGTCGGGTAGAAACAGGTATCTTCCTGAGTACAATGGAAGATGGTCGCGCATTTTCGTGGGTTATTTGAGATTAGACATTAACACTGTTGGATTCCGAATCATCAGTGTACTGGTTAAACGCTAGCGCTCAAGACTGAATTGTCTGGGTTCGAATCCCGCGAGCGGGATCATGGACGAGCGCTACTGAGGAGTCCCATGATAGCACGAAACAACCGTCCAGTGCTTCCAGGTTTTCATTGGTGGTCTAACATCAATCGGTCAATGATCTCAATCAATAATTTGAAATGTAATGAAAAACGAAGTATAAAACTTAAAGGATTAATTTTGCGGTAAAACAGAAATGGAAACATGATTCATTAGGAAAAATACATTCTAAAAATTTGATCTTTAATAATTAACCACAGAATATTTGTTATCTGGTATATTGTTAGTTAAAATAAAACAAAAATAAACTGCCAAAAGCCAGTTTTCAATCGATTCTACTATCATTTACTATTTTACTATTTTTTTAGTTTCAAATTTTAAAAAAAAGTAATTTACATTTGCATTTGCAGTTGATTAACCTATTGTACATAAACTGATTGTAATTCACGATAAGGAATAAATTGTATTTCTAATTTGCTGTAAACTGTTTAGGTGAAAAACTTTTAAAGAAACTTTGTGTTTAGTAATACGTTAGTAGCTTCATAGTGTAGGGATAAATAATTAGTTTGTGTTATTATTCGCATTTTTTACAGGAGGGCTGGATGTTTTAGTGGATGGTACTATGTCAAGCCGACATAGGTTATTCTAGTTTCTGGATAGACCAATTTATTCATTCTTCTCAAGCCACATGCTGATTATGTTGATTATTTGTTTATCAATCCTGTTTTTATATGATCGAATGTGTGTTAATTGCTTGCCCCATTCATTACGTGTTTGTAACTTATTTTTGGTTTGAATTTAGATATTGAGTCACGCTCGATCAAATAAAGTTGGTTCACTTGCCTTCTCCGCTGCGCATCACTTCGTTTCTTTGATTGTCTGTTCGGGTCAATGTGTGTATGAAATATACGTATCCAAAACTCATTTTCGTATCTGGCTTATTTCATCCCATCATTCCCTAACGTAAATTAGTCGATTAAATTATACGAGGGTTGGCGGTATGTATATCTCAACAACAATCATCATACAATTTAACTGAAGTCAGATATTAAGCCACAAAATTGTACGTCAATGTTTAAAATAACACTTTTGGATAACAGTTAAATCATGATCAATTGAATAACATGAATATATGATTACGTTCTATTCCGTAAATTTTCATTCAACTTTAGTAAAAAGGTTTTTTATTTAATCTAATACATAGGATTTTAATTGCTATAAAGTAACAGGAAACAGTTGCTGAGTTGATAAATATTCAAACTCGATTCTATGGAAAAAAACTATTTCGGTTAATATTGTTAATATATCTGAGCTATACTTAACTAATGGTAACGATTTAAAAGGGGCACTTCTTAATAAATCTAACTTGAATAAATAAGCAACAAAAAAAGTCTTGATATGTTAACTGTTGGACGCTTATGGTACATTCAATTTATTAGTATCTAAAGATCATTAAATGTAGAAAAATTAACTAAAAGCAAGATTTAAGCTTTATCAAAAAGTAGCAGGAGCATATAAACGAGTTAGAAATGATTTGCTAATGTTATCAAGAAAAGTTAATTTATTGCTACTGTTATTAAAATATCTATTCCCTATTCATGTCACGTAAGATAAAATCATCAAGGAAATAACCAATTGAGTGAAAGGTTTGCAGAAAAATAAAATTTTTGGTCAAAATGTACCATTAATTTAAGTCTTTTACTTTTGATAACTAAGCACACGTACTGTTGACTCCATCTAATTTAAACTAAATGCTATTCTATTAAATGTAACGACACAATTACTTCCTAGAATTGAAAACAAGATACGATGAAAGTTCATTAAGGGATATCGAAAGATTTTTTTGATGAAAGAGGTAACTGTCTATGTGAATTAAATATAGACAATTCATTGACCTCACTACTTTGTATTCAAAAATAACACTTTGTAGATTGTTAAATAAATCACAAAACATAGTATATTAATTAGATGAGTTCATCAATGAAAACACCTGATTATCACTGAAATTAGACAGTTGTTGAACTACATCACACAACAATAAACAGATTTGAATATTGGCCATTGAGCATTTTATCAACTAAGTCCATAGAAATTCGTTAGCTATGACCTTTAACTAAAATTCTCTTTTTTTGTTTAGGAGAGAATTGAAAGCTCCTTTTCAAAGCCTGTTAACTTATTAGTTTTTATTACGATCCGGAGATTAATTTATTATTGTTTGGCTTTAGCCGGAACATTTTCCTATTTCAAGACAATATTATACATTTCAGGCAAATAGGTAACATAATTCTGTTCAATGTAGCTGTTGATAAAGTTTAGAGACTAGCAAAGAAACTGAATAATAATAAAAGCACTTTTAGTATTATCTCTTATCAGTTGAAATTCTAAAGTCTTGCTAAAAGATTAGTTCTTCATTACCTTACTGTCAATCAAAAATAATATAAGAGAGTGATTTGTTCACTTCATTTATGTACATACACTCACTACATTTAAAAAAAATAGTGAACAAAACCAGTCAGGTTGGTTGGTGATTTTATGAAACTTTATCCGATTTCTAGGTTTCTATACATAGTGTATATGCCTACCTACCATTCATGAAAGTGTACAGTGCTAGACAGTATTATTATAGCACAATAGGAGACTAATCAGAATAATAAAAAAATCAGTCTATGTGACCATGGACTGTTTGTCTCAGGTTTATAGGTATATGTAGCCCACCAAAGCAACGTTTCCAAATCAGTAAAAACAATAATACTATGATGAATAAACGTAACTTTAGATACAAATTAAATCTTGTAAGATACCCTCTGTACAATACTGATTTCATGATTTAAAAAATATGCATCATACTTACCTCTAAAAGTTCTCTGCATCGTTTGGAATTATTCGCTTCAATTTCTTTACAATGTTCAATCATCTAAAATATATTTACCAAAATATTTATACATTTATTATATATTTTATAATAAAACCAAAATACATTCATAATGGAAAGAAAATGTTTAACTAGTTACTTTGTTACCCTATAGTACATTGATTCCATCAAACGAATTTTAATCTCTATAGCGGATACTTCACATTTCACTTCAATAATTCTAATCGGTATTTCATCGAATTCAAAAGGTATTATAATTAACTCTTGAGAAAATTTACATTCTTTAATTTATTATTAAGTATTGTGTCACAGACATCTTATTCAATAATTTTATGTTAAATGAAAAATTTAAAAGAATCAAATTTCAACTTTAAGTTTAATTACAATCCTGTTTTTCATAATACTAAAACATGAGTTATCCAATCCCGTTAGTTGATAATCTCCAGACTAATCAGTCTTGCTAATTGAACGCTATATTCGGTTCCTAAGTTATTCTCGTAACCCCCAAGCTAGAACTACACAGCCATCTGAATACGAGAGAAAAGGCGCAAAATATGCGAGAAGCACTTTACTCCAAAGGTTCGTTTTACTAAAGAAAATATTGGGTTTTTACAGTATTTTAGATGTCGTTGGGTTTCCCGAAGATTCTGGAATACTACTTAACATAGTAACAGTATGGTAATCAGCCAATCAGAAACCCTACATGTGATTTTTCATTTTCTTGATGTTTCCGGCTAAAACTTCAAATGAACGTTGATTAGATGAAATGTTTCTTAGCGTTTACTGAGCATTTCTTGTATTTTGCGAAAAGTTTTATGGATCACCCCAACACAGACAATGATGAAACCACTCTATGATCTACCTTTAAGATTTTCAGAAGAGGTTTAATGAAGGTTTTAGAAATTTCAATAGTTGAAATCATGAATCAGTCGAAGCTAGACCACTATGGAAAACCTGGAAACACTGGACGCCCGTTTCGTCCTAAAATGAGACTCCTCAGATGGACTGGTCGAAGTTAGACAGTGACACCGTTGGATGCTGGCCGTCTCAGTGGTCTAGTGGTTAAACGCTCACGCTAGAGACTGATAGGTCCTGGGTTCGAATCTCTTGAGGCGGGGTCGTGGATGAGCACTGCTGAGAAGTCCCATACCAGGACGAAACGGCCGTCCAATGCTTCCGGGTTTTCCATGATGGTTTAGCTTCAATTGACTCGTGATTTCAACTATTGAAATTACTTTAAAATTTTATAAATTTCTAAATTTTTTTAAAAACTTTTGAAACGATAAGGAACGGTATGGAATCTAAATTAAATATTAAATATTTTTTTCCTTTTTTCATTATCAATGCGTTGATTTTATTTATATTAAAAAAAAACTATTTGAAACTAAAAATACTGCACATACATTATGTTTATATGAAACGCTTAACGATCTATCTATATCAGGATGAGAGTTTGTGGAAATGGTAGTAATTCTACAGTTAAATTCATGAATTGTGGATTGGTTGAAGTTAGACATTAGCACTGTTGGATGCCAGTCCAATGATGTAAAGGTTAAGCGTTTGTGTGGGAGACAAAAGGTGTTGCGTTCGAATCTCGCCTGTGGAATCGTGAATGCGCACTAATGAGTAGCCCCATACTGGAACAAAACAGCCGCCTATTGCTTTTAGGTTTTCCATAGTGGTTTAACTTAAATCGATCTAATTATATATATATAAGGCCATCTCCGATGGGAAGTGAAATTCAAAATCATGAACTCAAGAGAATTCACCTAATTTTCACGATGAAAACATGTAATATGTAATAAAAATTAACCTTCAGACTAATATTATATTTTATTACAATCACGCTATATTCTTATCAACTAACAGATATCTTCATGAAGTGAGAACTAATGATACTTTCCAGAATATTACGAAAGGCTATTCAATAAAACCACTTACCCTGGAGAGTTCAACATTATCATTAGAGAAAAATATTTAATACAAATAGTAATGAAACATTTCCAAAACTTACCATTCGACATAAATTGAGTGTTTGTTTTTTATATGGTGCACCATTCTGAAGTAAAATCAGATTAATCAAATTATTGATATGAAAAACTTATAAAAAACTTATAATTTTTTAAAAGCTACTACTTTGGTTAATAAGAAATACTTTCAACAAACTCATCATACATAGTTGTTTTTGTTTAGGTTAACAACTTCGACGTCATTTCTGCGCACATAAATCATTAAACCTGAGAGAGCTGAGAAGTTATGAGATTTCAGTAATCAATGTATCATTTGATCAGTTAATCTAAATTCATAAATTCAGACTTGTATGCATCAGTTTCATTGATCTTTATCATTGTTCAGTTGACTAACTAGTGACTACAATCTTTCAAGTTATAAATCCATATCAGTGTTTGGATAAGTTAACTCTACTGGCTATCATAAGTAAGAACTCACTAAACCATCAACGATTTCATCCAACTACTCTTCAATATTTTCAGTTTGGAGTTGTGGAGATTGTTAAATGTCATTGAAATCATGAAGCGATCAATTTTAGACCACCATTGAAAACCTAGAGGCATTAGACGGCCATTACCCCCTCATCAGTGGACACCCACGATCCCGCACGCTGGGTTCGAACTCAACATCTTTGGTCTCGCGCGAGGACACTTGACCACTAGACCACTGGACCCACATCCAAAGATGTCAATGTCTAACTTCAATCGGTCCACGATGTCGTCCGACCAGTGAATTTCAACTGTGTTACGTGTGAGGCAGTTACCAACCGAAGACAATGAAAGATGGTCATGTGACATCGTGGATTGTTTGAAGTTAGACATTAACACCGTTGAATACCGGTTCAATGATCAGGGTTTAAGCGTTCGTGCGCGAGACCGAAAGTACCGGGTTTGAAGCCCGCATACGGGATTGTGGATGGAAGAGGAGGAGAGAGAGAGGATGCGCACTCCAGTATTCTCTACTGTTTAGTTCATTTACCTGTTCATCAATCAGTTAGTCATTAACGAATATATTACATCTCATAATAAAATATTTAAAATAAGAAATCATTTATATAACTAACGGCACGATCATCATGGAATTCAGTGTTAAATTGAAGTTAATAATATGATTTCGAATGATGAATTTATGCAGATTCTCTTAGCAATCAATCTAACTCATTTTGTTATATTCAAACTCAGGAAATTTTAAACAACCCTATTTATTATTAAATGTTATGCGGAATAATCAAACTTCACTTTAATATGACAGAACTTGATTTTACTTACTGTTACAATGAAATATTTCAGTATTTAAAAGGTGAATTTATTTATATTTTTATCATTATTATTAGAATTTGGCAACGTATACGGTTGAATTTTCAACTCAGAACCTAATAATATTAAGCTATCTATGAGACTTGAAGATGATGAGTTCACTCCTACCTGGAATAATGGTTCCTCAAATATTTTAAATATGTTATGATCAACATCAAACAAAGATTTTTGTGACATGAAATTATGAAAACATATCTCTTTTCCATATCATAAAGTGTTAAATGAACAATAAAGTATAAAACAAAACAATAATTAACTTTTGAAATTATGTAAAATATTTCAATAGTTGATATCATGAGTCAATTGAAGCTAGACTAACATGGAAAACCTGGAAGCACTGGGATGCTGTTTCGTCCTATTGTGGGACTCCTCAGCAGTGCGCATCCACGAAACGGCCGTCCAGTGCTTCTAGGTTTTTCATGGTGGTCTAGATTCAATTGACTCATGATCTCAACTATTGAAATCCACAAAACCCTTCTTTGATGTTATGTAAAAGATATTTGGTTATCCATTTTTATTGCCAAATACATTCTGTAGACACCTTAACAAATTAAAATGTTAATCTAATTATATATCACTCCATAATTTCTTTATCAGTAAAAAACATTTCATTAAAATTTTGTCAATCATTCATCATCATTGAAAACATTGATAAAACTTACGATATATCTGTGTTTCTATGTGTTCCAATGAAACAATAATCATTAATGTCAATTATTTTCATCTATAAATATATTATGATTTATTGATAAGTTCCTTTTATATGATTAACTGATATGTGAACTGTTCAAGTAATTTCTATTATCATTTAAATAATAAACATTAATATAAATGCTATACATGACTGATTATTTATTCTGTTTAGTCCAATACATCAAAAGGCAAATTATGACTTAGTTGAGCTGACAACGTTTTTTTAATAGTATGCAAACATATATATATCAGAAGGGGTTTTGTGGAGATTTTTAGAAATTTCAATAGTTGAACTCATGCGTCAATTGAATCTAGACAAACATGGGAAAACCTCGAGGCACTGGACGACCGTTTCGTTCTAGTATAGGACTCCTAAGCAGTGCGCATCCACGATCCCACCCCTCTCGAGATTCTAACCCAGGACCTATCGGTCTAGCACGCGAGCGCTTAACCATTAGTCCAGTGCTTCCAGGCTTTCCGTAGTGGCCTACCTTTAACTGACTTATGATTTCAACTATTGACATATATATATATATATACCGCGATAGCTAGTTTAATTTATTTTGCAACGTGAAGAGAATAAACTTTGAATGATTGCTTATACACTCAACAGATCAAGTGAAAATAATTAATATTGTCTTCGAAGCTTTTTTCCTGACATTTTTCAATAGTTGAACTGTTGTAAAGATTATAAGTAAAGCATTTAATCTTGTCTCGTTTTTAATTTATCTATTTACAAGTATTGATTTCTCAGTATTCTAAGTAAGTTCATTTAATGTAGATCATTCAGAACTTAAGTTCATTAAGGTGTATTTACAAAGTGATTACTCTCAAATATACAATATATCTCAAATAAATTTTCAACAATATGTAATCATAACTCTATTAAAGATAAAAACATATATATTTCAGTTTACAAAAACAACAACAAGAAATCTATTATTAGACCAATGAAATGATTTTCAATGATTCATATTTACTTCAATCTATTCATTCAATTATAATATCAATTTTATATAACTCAAAATATTTTTAAGCATTAATATTTAGAAATATCCTATCATAAATCATATATATTATTCTGATCTTTTAAATGAAATTAATCACAATATTCTTTTCTCTTCAAAGAATTAACGATGATACTATCATTTATGGACGACCTTTAAATGACGCTAAAATGAACTTGAGAATGTCCACCTATATACTACGCTTAAATGAAGATTATAAAATAATGTGAGGAATTATAATTATAATTTACAATTGATGATCAAGGTTAGAAATCAGATATAGGTTTATTTTTAATCATGAACTGACATCAATTGTAATGTCAAAAGATTATTTAATCAAATGAATGAATTGATTTCGCTCCAAAATTCAAGACTTATTATTGTAAATCTGATTGTTTCGTCCATAAATTATAGTCTTACCGTTATACACTAATATGATTTGTAAACAAGTATAAATGTCAAGAAGAATAAACAATTAAGATTATTTTAATTTTTCAATGTAAAATTAACATTATTAATAACTAACCTGATTAGTTGTACTTGATTCCAATATTTGAAATTGTTTCATAATAATACGTGTACTTTCATTCTCTGTATTATGATGATGATGATGATTGTTATTTTCATTTTCAATGAAATTCATTGTTTGCAACAACAAAAAAGATGCATAAAATGTTAAATAGTAATTCGTAATTTACACAAAGATGAATCGATAGAAACAAGAAACTTTTAAATGACATTTACAGTATCCCATTTGATTTATTATTGAATAACTAACTTGACAAGTTTTGAAATAAATAAAATTATGGTTTTTCTTTTGCTGTTTACTGAATATAACAATTTTGAATATTATAAATATTTATTAAATGTTTATTCTATATATTAAGATGATTAATCGATTAAAATGTAGCTAATAATGTAAGCTTTCTGAATAATATAGTGGATAAGGACTTTTGAGAAGTTCCATACTAGGACGAAATGGTCTTCCAGTGATTTTATATTTTCAATGGTGGTGTACTTTAGATTGATTGACGAATTCAACTACTAATAATAATTAGTAAAGTAAAGGTGATTACATAATGTTTAATCAATTCTAACTAACTTTATACTTTAATTGTGAGTAAACATGAAGACAACTCGTTCAACTGTTTAAACTAATCAAATGATAATATAAAATATCTTTTCAATTTTTTTACTTACAAGCCATTCTTTAATTTCAAAATTGATGTGAAACACTAATAATATATAACAAGCTGAATACTTTAGTTGCTTTCGTAAGGTCAGTTATCATGCCAACAAGACTTAACTCAAATGTATTTCATCCTAAGTTACTATGTATAGGACAGTTTAATTCAAAGAGATATGTCATCGCAGAGCACGATCGTTAATGAACTATCTTATAAGATATGAGAGCTTTATTTTATATTTTTTAAAAAGAGTCAATTAAACGTTTAGTAAACATTCAGAAAACTTAAGAAAACTGATGAATTTCATTTAAGTATGATATAGCGAATGGCTTGTCAATTTTGTAACATACATCGCTTACATAAGCGTCAAAAGAAATAAGTAATCCCCCTGAAGTTTATGTAGATTATAAAAAAGCACTAATTGTATCTACATATTCGTCTGATCATGTTTAATTATGATCATTTATATAATGTATACTTTCTTAAATATCAAAAGTCAGTTGAATAAAAGCAATATTACCCTTCATTCAACTAGTAGATTGTGTTTAATTGTCACTAATCAACAAACTGCAAGTTAATTCTATCTAGTCTGTTGAAAAGAATGACTTTATTTTCTTGACATTGAGAAGCTCATCAATAAACATTTTTGGTTGAGACTATAATTTATGGATGTGACGCTAAAATGGCCTTGAGAATGTCCACCTATATATTACACTTAAATGAAAATTATAAAACAGTGTGAGGAATTAGGATTAATATTTACAGTTGATAGTTAGGTTTTTCATCGCGAACTGACGTCAGCTATGATGCTAAAACTCTATGTAGACAAATGAATGATTTAATTTCGTGCCAAAATTCAAGACCTATTACCGTAAATCTGATTTGTTCATCCATAAATTACAATATCGCCAGTATCTTAAAATTATTCCAATAGTACTTCACTATATTCAAATCTAGTGTAAAACAGATGAACAGAATAATTCTAAACATAAACTCTCATTTTCTAATTAGATGTTAGATTCCGCTGTATACAATTATTACCTTTGGTCCTTAGGTTTAGAAATATTCTAAAATTACAACTTGTATGGTGAGATATTTGTTTTGCAAGAGAACGATAGCGTTATAAATAGTATTTTAACTATTTATTGTTCAAATATATATATATATATATATATATATATATATGGTATCTTCAGAACACAACCAGCAGAAAGTGTATAATGATGATTGATAGTTGATTACTAACTAATATCATATTTTTTAAGCCGATACTACTAATACAATTTCGTAGGTTCTATTAAAAGAAATGACAAGGCATATCATTCATTATTTGTTGATTTCGTCTGCAACCAAAGAAATTCAATGAACTCTCCGTGATAGCATTTGTAAGCAGAATATGAGTGTGGTTACGAGGAAATATTGATTTTCCTATAACTTGGAACCATACATCACCCACTATTACAATCAAATATGCTACCACTAAGTTATTTAAACCATAAATAAATATTTGTAGGACTAAAATTCTTATAATTTGAATTCATACCATAAAGACTGTAAACCATATAGTAATAAAAGCAGGGATAAATAAAGTTTACAAAAAATGTAAAGTGCAACATTAATAAAAACAGATAATCATTAAACATTGTAAATTAGAGATGAAATCATTCATTATTACTTACCAGCAGTTGCACGTTTTTCTAAAGTTAACACTAAATCCTTACATGTTTTACACCATAATTTACAATAATCAAATACAAAATCAACAGCATTTTTGTCATTCTTAGCTAATTTTGTATCTTCTTCGGATACACCACTTCCTATGAAAATATAAATGAAATTTTTTTTAAAAATAAAAAAAGTAGATCGAAATTTATGACAATTGTTATTAATATATTTTTGATTGAGATCATGAACCAATTATTAGACACTAACAACACTGAATCCCAGCTCAGTGGTGCAGTAGGTTAGGCGTTCGCACGCAAGGCCGATAGGTACTGGGTTCGAATCCAGCGACCGCGATCATGGATGAACACTGTTGAGTTCCACAATAGAACGAAACGGCCATCCAGTGCATCCAGGTTTCCAACGGTTCTCTAACATCAATCGGTTCATGATCTCAACCAAAAACTTAATGATCTCCACAACCCCCGTACTAATATTATTATTATGTTGAATAATATGCATTGGTAAAATAGTTTGGAAAAGCTGGTGACCAAAACAAAAAATATCGGTTTGTTTTTCCTTAAAAAATAGAAACAAATGTGAAAAACAATAAGGGTTCAGTAACCTGCAATAGTATGTATCCCTAAAAAAAGAAAAAATGATAATTTTCATGTATATAGATATATTTATTTTATCAGGTATCCCCCAAAATAAACGCATACAAGACTAGAGATCTTTTTATTAATAATGCGATCATTATATTACTTTTTTCACATCATCTTATTAGAATAAACTGAATTTCCCATGATGAAATTCCCATATTCACTTGTACATTATTCCCTGTTAACTTTATATAAATATCGAACTGAAAAAATACTCAAACGAATGCAAAATTACAGTCTTGTGTTCGAGTCCCCCATGATGAACTGTAGATCCGCACTGCTGAGTAGTCCTATACAAAGACGAAACGGCTGTTCAGTAATTTCAGATTTCCAAAGGTGATCGAGCTTAGATTGATTTATGAACTTAACTGTGAAATTATTATTTTCCCTATTGGCTTTCTCTTTAGACATTTGTTTTTTTAATCAACAAAAGAAATGTTTGCTTAACAAATTAATGATCCAAATGAAGTGAATTAGTAAGAACAAAAACATTTATTATTGTATGAAAAAAAGAAAAGAAATGAAATAATCATTTACAGTAAAAGAAAAAGAAACCCTAGGTAAACTGAAACATTGAATAAACCATTAATTGCATTTTCTTTTACTTTTCATCTTATGTACTATAAGAAGAAAAACATTTTACAATATGAAAGGTATATATATATATATTGTTGATAGATTGAATAAATGTCAAATATGAAAGGTGCACAATGAAGTACTACCAATAGCCTTGACCTAGAAACACATTAGAGTATTTTTTCTAATACTACTACACACTTTTAGTTGTAAACATTTTCATCTGTTTATGCATATTAGTGAATGTACTGTTGATTGGATCATTCTTTTTTCCGCTTTTTTTTAAGAAACTATAGTTTACACGATGAAATGTTCAAAAAAATTTTGTTAAAAATTTCTCAACATATAAGAAACATTCATATAATACATTTCAAAAGCTTAACGCTTAAATATCTTTTAAAGCATGTTGTAAAATGTATACTGTTTTAATAATTCTTTTATTAAAAATAATACTCATATAAATAATGATTAATTATTGACTGATGATCTCAACTACTGAAATTACTACAATCTCCACAAAACCCCTTCTGATACTAATCAACATATGCTCACTAGTGACTGGATTCTAGAGGTTTCCCCCGGAGTTCTAGTGAGAAGCAGTGGCCAGTGGAGTTCAACCGCGTGTGTTGTGAGATAGTAACCCACTGAAGACAATGGTGGATGTGTCGCTCAATTTCGTGGATTGGTTGAAGTTAGACAATAACACCGTTGGATGCCGGCTCAGTGGTCTAGTGGTTAAGTGCTCACGCGCGAAACCAGTAGGTCCTGGGTTCGAATCTCGTAAGGGCGAGGTCGTGGATGCGCACTGCTGAGGAGTCCCACAATAGAACGGAACGGCTGTACAGTGCTTCCAGGTTTTCCATGATGGTCTAGCTTCAATTGACTCATGATCTCATCTATTGAAATTACTACAATCTTCCCAAAACCACTTCTGATACAATAATTTACGTTGATTAGATTAACGTTAGAATAACAGGAGAGTTTTGTTTTATAAACTCATAATCTAAGCATATAATGAGTATGAATGTAATTTGCGTTCGTGTATAATTTCAGTTATGTAATACGGATGACACAACTATTCTATAAATTATAAATTGTATAAATATTGTAATTTGTAAGTTTTGTTTCAATAGATAAGTAGGTAAATTATTTATAATTTTATTTTGAACAGTTTTAAAATTGAATAGAGTGAATACAATGAGAGAATCTATGTTAAGTGTTTGTGAGGATTTATTTCATGCTTGAATAACTTTCGATTGAGAATTGACAATTATCTACTTAAATAAAGAAATATTTTAAAAAGAAAACTAAGATAATCACTTGTTTTCTCGGTTGACAATGTAAGCTGGTCACATCGAATTGTGGAGTGTATGTTAACCTAGTGTTTAAATTGAATTAACCTGACTAGATGTTCAATAATGAAGGTATTAACCGACTTACATTCAGTTACGAATAGCCTGAATATGCGTTCTGATTACATCAATGGCAAATTCTATAACTGTTACACATTGTGATAATCTTATGCAATTGAAGAAATGCATTATTAACGTATATCAATAAGCAACTAACCTTTAATCAAAGAATACAGTCCACTGCAGAGTATAAATGTATTAACGACTAAAAATCTTGAAAATGCCAACGGTTTAAAGTAAAACAACACACGTAAGTGAGCGATAATGTTTTTTTAGTTCGAATTGCATCCACGATTACTTTGAAATACAGTCGTATTCATAATGCACAGATAAAATTTGTCACAATATTCGAAGTAATTTGAATCTTGACAGAAGATTCGATCTCAACTTTTATAAATTCTGGAAATCATACCGATTCTATCGAGCAACCTTAGTCTTTACATTTAAAAAATAGCGAAACACAACTGATTTTCCTTTGTCCAGAGAAAATTTAATGGAACCTTTTACAAAGTTCATCACATTTGTTTGCAATTTATGTCCAAGTCATATCTCTTCTTTTTTATTTACATATTAAAACTGATCACTGACACACTGTGTATTGCATAAACCTTATATGTTTATTATTTCATGTTAATTTTCTGAAGTGTTGTTAAACCTTCTCTGTCGAAATATTCATTTATATTATCATTATTCTTAAATAACCATTACATCAGTTATCTTGAAATCGTGAATCGATCAATGTTAGACCACCACTGAAAATCTGAAAGCACTGAACGGCTATTTCGTCTGACTGTGAGACACCTCAGCATCGCGCAACCACGATCCCACACACGAACCCAGAAACTTCGGTCTCGCAGGCAAACATTCAACCTCTAGACCACTGAATCGACATCCAACGGCGTTAATATCTAGCTTCAACTAATCCACAAAACTGCACTATCATCTATTATCTTTGGTGGATAACTGCTCCATACTAGAAAGAAATGACCGTCCAGTGCTTCTACGTTTTCAATGATTGTCTAACATCGGTCGATTCATGATCTTAACTAATTATTTTTAAAATTGAAATTATTCAATCAAACTATTAAAAAATAATAAGAATTAAGTATGTTTTATATTGTATCTTACAACTTTTTTTCTATAATTTTGAGCATACATCCAAAAAGTTAACTTAAAATGCTTCCATTTCACATTAACAACTTTAGTATAAGTTATTTTGGTTAAGCTTCAAAATGATTTTTGTATTTTTTGAGAACTTTATCTGATATAAAATGCAGTTTTTTTTAAAAGAATATTCAATCTGAGATCAATAAAATTTAATATACAAACAAGTATGATGGATTTATTTTTATTGAAAAATTAACGAACACCGTATCAGTGGTCTAGAGGTCAAGCGCTCGCGCTAGAGACTGATAGGTTCTGGGTTGGAATCTCGCGAGGAGTGATTGTTGACGAGCACTGCTGAGGAGTCCCATACGGTCATCCAGTGCAACTAGGTTTTCAATGATGGTTCATGATCTCAACTATTAAATCACTATAATATCCACAAAACGTCTCTCGGATTATGAAAACAGTTAGGCAAATTTTTTTGCAAACATTAAATCATAAATGTATTACTTAATAACAAAATATAACATGATTAATATGTTTTAACACATCATGAACTTAAATAACTCTATTTGTAATTATCATGTTTAGAATTAGTATTTGATTTGCATAATTGTTGTTAAGCTTTCATATTAATGGTAAATTAAAGGTTGACAGATAATCCCATTTAAACATTAGAAATTAAAAACACGAAGTTCAGCGAAGGGAAATTTAAAAAGACGTTGGAAGTGAATAGGACATATATTACGGAAGTAATCAAACTGCATCAAGAGGCAAGCGCTAACTTGGAATCCTGAAGAGAAAAGGAAAAGAGTAAGACCAAAGAACACAATGTTTCGGGAATCGGAAGTAGATATGAAAAGGATAAATAGCAGTTGGAAACAACTGGAAGGAATCGCCCAGAACAAACCTACATGGAGATACCTTATGGTTGAACTATACTGTCCTATGAGAAGTAACATGCGAAAATGAAATGAAATTAAGTTGTTGTTTCTATTCTAACAAGAATATTATGGAATGAAACGATGTTGAGATTATACAGCTCAGCTTACTAATTTGAATTATATAAATGTAACCGAAATATTAAGCAGATAAATGATCGAGTCACTTTGTCAAATTATTGTGAGCTTACGCACATTAAAACTAAATACTTTTCTAAATTTAATACTATAATATCAAAGAAGATAATGCAAATAAATGATTAAAAACGCAAATCAATATCTTATGAATGAGATCATGAACCGATTGATTTTAAACCACCTTTGGAAACCTGAAAGCACTGGACGGCCGTTTTGTGTCGGGTAGAGACAGGTATCTACCTCAGTACAATGGAAGATGGACGCGAAATTTTGTGGATTAATTGATGTTAGACACTAATATCATTGAATCCCAGCTCAGTGGTGCAGTAGGTTAAGTGTTCGTACGCGAGGCCGATAGGTAATGGGTTCGAATCCTGCGACCGGGATCATGGATGCATACTGCTGAGGAGTTCCACAGTAGAACGAACCGGCCATCCAGTGCATCCAGGTTTCCAACGGTGGTCTAACGTCAATCGGTTCATGATCTCAATCAAAAACTTAATAATCTACACAACCCCTATACTGACATAAATCAATACACATTGACTTTTCTACTTCTAGTTCCTATTTCTAATGAATTTGATATAAGACAAAAATATGACGTGAAAAGAAAATAATAAAAATCATATTCATAGATAAGAATTTTTTTCTTTATTCTTTTTTTAGGATTTCAAATATTATTGTTACCATTAAAAACCACAAAATTAGAAAAAGATTCATTTTGAACATAATTTATCTCTAGTGATAAATGTATAAATTTATAAGAAGGGAAGAATAGTTAACTAATCTATTCTTCTTATTGGAAATAAATTATCATTTAGCTCTGATAATTTAATAGTGAATGTCTCTTACATTTGTATACATATATACACAAGTATTCTTATCAATAATATATAATGTAGATATACTTTCAGATAAACTATTGTATAGATTTCTATTTTACAATATGAACACAAATGCACATATTTTGTCATATTGTGTTTATTAAGTCCATCATAATTTATTTTTTATGATCACATGAAATAAATGTCATGTACATGGTTAAGTAGTTAGTCCCCCTATTTCGATCACTATTTTTTATGTATATATAAGTATTTGTATGTGCGTCAATTGTCCAGTTATACAGAATCATTGTAATAATTATTAACTGAAAAAATAGTGAAATATCTGTATCATTAAAAATAATAATAATAATAGCCTTAACGAATAAATTGGCTAACTGAATTAGCTTATCGATCATATGATAGATAAATGGATGAATGCAATAGTAATAATAAAACCAATTATTACTATTATTATCAACAGTGTTGAAATAATTAAATTTTAACAAAATTAAATGTAAAATAGGGTTGCAAGACTTAAAACAGACAAATGAAGATAACAATGATTGACAACTATTCATATAGAATAGTGAACACTAAAAAATGTAATATAATTAAGCATAATTATGGAGATTGAAAACCAATCAATGTAAGATCACCGTTGAAAAAATTAAAAGCACTGGACTTCTGTCTTAGCATGGGATTCCCCAGAAGTGTACATTGATGACTATCAGCTGATTGGTTGACATGCGAGAGAGCGAGTGGGAAAACGAATCAACTTGAACACTACTCAATTTATTCCTGATTGCCGATTCACAGTAATTTAAGAGAATTTATGCATAAATAGATGACTAAGATGACCACAACGCATAAACAGTCAGAAGAATACAATTATGTACAAACTAGTGTAGAAAAATAGGTTACAAAAGGTTACGCTTAAATTACAATGGCTTTGGAACAGGAAAGGGTGTGATAACGTACCATACACCAAACTAAAGCTTATAGTTTAATGGATGGCCTAGTGACAAAACTAAATGTTAGTAATTTACAGGCTTTGAATGGAGTGAAATAAAGTCACCAAAAACAGAAGGAAAATCTAATGAGATGTTGACATAATGAAATATAGGCACGAAAATATTTAAAAAGTCCTGGGTTTGCTCCTTTGAAGTATCATCAGTGTCGATTGCTAGAGAACTCGGTACTAATTGTAAAGTTGCCAGGCGCTGCGTAAATGTCAAGTGTACCTTCAATCTAGGTTAACCAGTGATGGATGCCATATGCTAATCAAACAAATTACTGGAAAATATATACATCTAAAAACTATGCTGCAAAAATTACATCAAACATACTGTAGATTTACCTCTAGAGTTCAAAACTTTAAAGATAATATTAGATGTTCCTTTATTCGTGTATCAATAAATCAACTCGACAAATCATTTCAAATATAAATTTGCAACTAAATATTAGGAAGTCGTCTGTTCGATATTATCATTTGACCTTTTCAGTAAACCATATACATATTTAAACCATACGATCATTACTTTGTAGTCTCAGTCCAAATGCACTGTATGAATCCGTCGACAATTAAGAACATGAAACTAAATCACTAGGAATAGTTGGAACAGTCATTCACTAATAATATGAATATGTCAGTTACGGAATATTAATAATTTTGCTTCATATCGAATATATCACAATCTATTAACACAATGTATAGCACTAAAATATTTGATCTACCTAATTCAATTTCGATTTCTTTTCCGAGTGTATAAGTTGATTTCCCAGACGTAGATGTGTTCGACATAGTAGTAGTAGTGGTTGTAGTAACAGAAGTGGAGGTAGTACCAGTTGCATTGATTTGATCAGTTATCGAAGCTGAAGAATCATGTGTGTTGGGTGTAATGAACGTTGAGGTTGATGATGTCGTTGATGATAACAGATAAGAAGATGATGAACGAGGTTGTTGTGAACCAGAATAACCCTGAATTTTCCCCAATGATAAAATATTACAAAATAAGATGATTTACGGTGAATCACTAAAAATTAACTATATTGGCAAATATTCCATGTCATGCACTAGTGACAATTTATCGTTCAAATTATTTGTGAATGTCACAGTGAACTTCAGGAGTTATGCAAATAAATGATCAAACTGACGACAAGTGGAATATAAGCAATGTGAGATAAAAGGATAATGCAACAATAACTAGCTATGCAAAACCAGACGAATGAGGTTGTAGGATGTTAGATTTGGAATAATGCAATACTCAATACAAAAGGATCGGTCTAAACTGAAGTTGTTGATCGGGTTTTAACACGCAGAAAGTTTTTAACCAAGGATTACAACTGCCTCATAGGCACCAACAAATCAGTGGTCGAGTGAACTGAGTTGTCTTCACTTACTACAGTCTACTCTCACATCAATTCTGATAGGACGTCTGAGCAGACGTTGACTAGGCAAGTGTCACGCAATCTTCAATAAATGTCCGAATCTTGTCAACTAATTAAACATTTGTATCAAGTTCTACTGACTCGGGGTCAGCATTTCATTTCCGAAATTATATGGCATAATTATATTTTACTCTAATTTACAGTAAACTTCACGTGAAATGTAACTCCATCAAATCAAGGTGTGAGTTACATATTACGATACAAATACTCCGGTCTTGAAACCGAAATTCTAGAGAAAATTTAAATTGTTTCAAGATTATAACGACTGTCTTTACTTTTCCAGTTATGACATACAAACAAAGATTTCATCTTTGCTCATAAGCAGTCTTCTCAAATAGTTTGCAACATCTCTAAGAATGCAGAATCATTGATACTTTGAATTGGATTTCCCTGTAATGATCAGTAACAAAATGTATTTCAAATGTGCGAGTCCGTTGTGGTTAATTTTCAACTGCCCAGGGCTCTCATACTTATATCTACTATCCAGCCTTCATATAATAACAACTGCCAATCGTTCGTACTCGATACTACTTTAAGGAATCATGAGAGGAGGTACATAACTTGGTTTTAGTATTATTCACCATGATTTATGGTAGATAGTGGTAAAAACATCTCCCTGTAGTAAAGTATTCCTTTCATTTCCTAGGAAATTCTTCAGGCATTCCAATAAGTGGCTTGTCCCATCAGGTAAATAATTATGCTTAGACTTTTACTTAATGAATAATATCCTAATACAAGACCTATTATTCAAAGGACACTGTTACACAAAGAAATGAGAAATAATTAATCTACGAAAGACAAACGATTTTCCCCAACATCTTACCAAAGTAATATGGACATATACATATGTTGCCTGGCCTCATCAAAAGACGATAAATGGACCAGCATAACGGAAAACTCGAGGACTTATGACTTATACACAGACGCTGATCAAATTTGTACCAAAACCCATATCTGGCAATATTTTATTTCTTCAGACAATTCAATCCAGCAGAATCTGAATGCACTATTTTATCTTCAAAGTATCATAAGATGGTTGTAATACGAGTTATCTATACTCATCTTTTGAAAACTCACATGATTCTAATTACTTAATATCACCAGTAAATCAAGACACGACTTCTAAAAATATACCGAATTACATAGTAAATGAACTCTTTTATTGATAATCGCTTACAATTAAGGAGCAAAGTATAGTATATTTGGCAATGTGTACCTATATTTAAACGCAAAACAACCGAATGAGTGTTTACTTGCATTACGTGTGAAGTATTTCAGCTAGCTTGAATTGTTTATCTAAACTATATGTGTGGTTGAAACTATCTGTTACGTAATTCGGTTTGAAGAAAATTCATAAAACGTCCAAGAAATCAACTTCAACAGGAAGCGCTATGTGGGACCTAGAACAACTTGACAACACATGAAGGTACTGTGATTTAAAAATTCTCTGTATGAAGAATACAGCTCAAGAAAGTATCATCAAAATGCAGCCTGGTTTGCTTGTGTAGTCGTCTAAGCCATATCAGAAAGAAGTTAGCAAGATGAGTAATATAAGACGCCGGATAATAAAATAACAATAATGGTGGGTTAAACTAAAAGTCGAGAATATGATTCGAAAATGGAGAGTAGAAAAGTATGCATAAAGAAATTCTGAAACTCAAAATTGAACGAAAGATAGAGGTTACACTCATCTGCTTCCCCTTGAGTGATTTCAAACCATTTAACCTAAAGTCTCTGACCATTGGCTATAGTAGTCAATCACATCCTAACCAAGTAGTCAGTATCTACCAACATGGCTCAGATCAACGGTCGACGACTTTATGGACTGACTCCATGTTTTGATTTGTTTCCCCTGGATTTTTTTAACCTGTCTCTATAAAAATAAACATCGTATGTCTAGGTAGACAGTTTGTAAGCAAACTTGGTACATATCTTAACCACCTAAGTCGGCGAACACTAACCATCTCATCAACCGATCTTCCATTGTTGGTTAGGGCTCCATATATAACCTCAAAACTACTCGTTCAATGACACTCGTGACCAAACCCTAGCGAATTTTGAATGTTCTTTATTTATAAAAGCCAATTTTTTACGTCTATAAAGAACAAGGGATCTGTTGAGAGATAAAATCGTTCTTTAGTTGACAGATGATTGTCTCGCCTTCCACGCAAGTGGCGAAATTTCTGAACCAGAGGAGAGATCTTGTCAGATACCATCTCTTCGAGGTTGACGAGAATTTTGCGATAGTTTGAACGAACGAGATGTAAACAAGTCCACTAAATACTATAACCAATAGACATAGTCTGAAGTAACGATGAGAGTTAAACAGCATAGAAACTAGATAATGATCTCAATGTTATCGAAATTCGTTGAAAACCTAGTGTCTCGCTGACGGTAATTTATAGGACGTTTCCTTGATACATTCCAACTTTGCTTATATCCAGTTAAAACTCCTAATTGTTTGTAGATAATTAAACAGGTATTTAACTTCATTTAGCCGACTAAAACAACATGCACATTCATACAAAACTTAGCACGAAAATAATTGAAGTCGAAAATCTACATGAGGAGCACATTAGCTGATAGATTAAGAAGGTTTAGATCTGCTTTGAACCAACACAAGAGTATTTAGACACAAAGAAAAAATTCGACACTATGCTCTTCAAAGCAACACGTCGAGGTTTGTGGTCTTCAGTGGTCTTCCGTCTTCACTGGTAAGAATCAGAGGTCAGTCGACCAATATTATTTCTTTCAACCTACAGCACTGTAAATATCTGACCCCTCTGTAGATGAGTCAACCGAATATGTTGATATTAAGCACTCTGGCTGATAATTCGAGCAACTCTTCATTCGATGCGAGAAATAGAACTCCATCTGTCAAGTTTGCTGCAATACATGGTAGTTACAAAAATCCACAACCACACAACGGTAAGCGGCTGAACTGTCTTTGTGCGCTCGTCACCAATAAACGAGACTTTATTCACAACCTTATTTTCGTTTCAGTATTGGAGTGCCAATGTTTACATCATGTAAGAGTGAGTAAAACATTCTCAACTGACTACAAATGATAGACGGATACAATTAGAGCGTTTCCTATAAACCACAAGTTGTTATCAAGACAGTTTTCTCAAAGATTTAATTCCTCTTTTCCAACTTATATAGATTCACTAGAGAGGTTTTGAACATTTGGCAAATGACACCCAACTATAAATCCTGCGGAATTTACAGTCTTTCGTGACTAAATTGGGTACTATTTAGTCTGATAAGTGAAAGATATAAGAATTTACGAATACAAAAAACTTGTGTACATTGTAACCTGTTTAATCTTTTTGAAAAACAATAAAGTAACATATAGTAAATGTAAGATACGTTTTCTTTGACTTACCGAGTTGTTTGACACGGTTTCCATATCTTCAACGTAGAATTACAGCCTCAAACTTCCCACTTTACTCAATTAGCATATTCTTCTTGATTTATAACTGCTAGATTGTTATAGGAAGCGCCATATTAGTTAACAATACGTCCTGAAAGTACAACCCATAGTGAAGGATTCAAACAAAACAAAACGCCAAAGTCTTTAATTTGGTGAAAGCTACACATTTTTAAATTTTCCTGATCTTTTGGTATTTTATTGTACTTTATTTAGTAATCCGTATTCTTATATCATTTGTCCAACATTTCAATTCAGCATTTCAGTTTCAGTTTGGAAAGAACGGGAGGTTAGATGGCCTGTGTGAGTCCTGGCAATGGTGGTCTGAAGTTGATCCAACTTTCTTTTGAAAGAGTCGACGGGTGAAGCCTCAACCACGTGTTGAGGTAATGAATTCCACTCGTTGATGATTCGATGGGAAAGTTGATAAACAGCTGACAAGTAATTTGTTCTGGGTTTGCGAACTTTTTTGGAGTGCCCTCGTAAATTCTCTGTTTTGGAAGATAAGAAAAATGAAGGCATATCAGGTGAAAATTTATCACTAAACAATTTGAAAACTGTAATCAATTCGCCTTTAGTTCTACGATATGACAACGGGAATAGGTTTAGCTTAACCAGTCGAGCATCATACGAAAGCTTCGCTTTTTCGGGGATCATCTTAGTTTCCGTTATATGAACCTTTACCAGAAGCTCGCTGTCTTTTTAAGCAGGGGCTAGCCGCTTGTATGCAGTACTCAAGTTTAGGACGAACGAAAACTGTATACAAATTCAAAAACGTTTTAGCGTCGACATGACTAAAAGCTCTACGTATTGACCATAAGTTTCTACAACCTTTGACAGCTATTGCACGGCAGTGTGCAGTAGTCTTTAAGTCTTGTCTAACGATAACTATTAAGTCACTATATGTCCGGACGACAGGTAGCTCAGTGTTATTCATCGTGTATGTATATGTGCCTTGATGACCGATTTGCATCACAACGCACTTGGAAGTATTTATCGCCAACTGCCAGATTTGAAACCATTCAGATAATTTCTTCGGGTCATTTTGGAGCTCTAAGCTATCATCCTTACACCGTATCGTTCTCCATATCTTGACATCGTCAGCATATAGCAAGACCGATGATGATAGGAGACGAGGAAGATCATTTACATACAAGAGGAATAGCATTGGCCCAAAAACTGTACCCTAAAGCACTCCAGTAAGCACAGTTTCCCAGCTAAATAACTTAGAGTTCACCCTTACTCTTTGTTGACGCCCAACTAAGAAGTCTTTTATCCACATCAATAAATTGCCTCCAATCCCGACTTTTCTTAACTTATATAACAGCCGGTTGTGCGGAACTTTGTCAAAAGCTTTACTGAAATCAATGAAGGCGACGTCTACAGGTAGCTTTTGGTCCTTAAGAGCTCACCAGCTTTCACGAGCCACTAATAAGTTAGTGAGACAAGAATAACCTATCCTGAAGCCGTGCTGCTTCTCCGAGAGGATCCGGTTTTTATCGAGATACTTGAACAGCTCCTTCCGAATAATCTTTTCTAAGATTTTAACAACCACACTAGTTAGGCTAACGGGGAGGTAATTCTGAGGTTTGTGTTTCGTACCTGTTTTGGAGACAGGACTTACTATGGCGTTCTTCCAATCTTTTTGTAAACAACTCTGCGTTACGGATAGATTAAAGCATATACTTGAAGGGTTCGCAACGAAGTTAAATAATTTCTTTAGTAACCTAGGTTACAATTCATCGGATCCGTGGATTTGTAGAATTATGGTCTACTATGATATTAGTACTGCTCTAATAATAGACTTTATCCTAAATTTGTAGATTCGTCATGATATAACTGCCTAATCTATAAGATCTTACGTGGAAGTCACACCATCGACTACGCCAACTCACTGTATCGTATCAATTACCAATACATGCTGTAGAACAAGGTTAGGCTAAAGAAAGAACAATATATTTAATATGAATAGAAGATATAAGGTAACACTCAGCAGAGACCACGCCTGCATGGTCGAGCCATGCCACTCGATCAACTCCAGTCCATTCAATTCATTCTCCGCGCCTTCTCCATTGTTAGGTATTTCCCCGAGTTAAATATTGAATATCTATTTTCTGAGTAGTCTCGTGTTCACAGCTTTGTGGATTGTGTGGCTATTGTTCAATGCCACTACAGATTGACCAATGTCAAGCTTATTTAGCAGATCAAAGACATCGAGTTCTTTAATGGTCACGCTATCCAGTGTATGTATGCGGGGATTTGTATGTGCTGACGGGAAGGGAGCTTCTATGGTATATACTTTGCTAATGTAGTTTGAGAACACTTGAGCCTTACCAAGTATTAAGACTGCTTAACAGGATCTCACTCACCTCACAGCTTGGACTGAGATAGACCAAACCAATCAGCAACTCTTTTCCCTTACATTTCAAGCGGCAACAAACTAATTCACACGTCCCACTCTCATGGAATTCACTGTCGATAATGGTGAGTGGGATAGCATTCCTAATGAAAAGAGCTACTTACCCTCCTTCACGCTTTTGTATTCTGTCGGCCCTTACTAACGTAAAACCATCGAAATCAAGTTCTATTCTACATTTGACTGTGTCAGTCAGGTTTCTGTGTATGCGACTATGTCTGGCCTTGTAGAGTCAATCTGCAGAATGTGACGCTGAAAACGAGTTTTTGGTTCAGAGCTTTCACTCTCCTTGATTCTATAAGAAACAAATGATCTGTCACTGTATTCAGCCTTCGATTTCTCGATTACTTTTATGTGGACAGGATTCTCTTTTATATCGTCATGTTATTTCTTCCTTACAACCTGTAACCAATCGTCAATACTGCTTGTAGAAGCAGCTACATTCGCGTCAAACATACTGTGGGATTTCGAAGGGCTGTCGACGATTTGAGAGGTCAGGTTATGTTTCCCGCTAAAAACCGATCAAGCCTCGCGATTGCGTCTTCTAGGCGTTTCCTGCTGGATACCATTTAGAAGACGGGGGACAGAAGAAACTTCTTTTCTTGAGTCTTCCGTTGAGACAGACCTCTTTGTAGATTGTTTTTCCTCCTTTGGTCAGTGTGAGTCAGTTGTTTTCGAGCTCACCTGAGTTTGCATTACTCCAGTTTGCGTGTTGACAGAGCGAGTACTGCCCGGTATGTCCAGACCACGCTTGCCGAAAGACTTTCTTGCAGCACTTACAAATGAGATGGCCTCGGTTAGCAAGCTGTTTACATCCGAGGAGAATTACTATTTCGTCCAATATTTGGCTTTCAATCGATGTAGACCAACGTTTAGTCAGTATTCGCGGTTACTCCATAAATGTCATATGCTTTATTAGGCTGTTATCTCGTACCATTTACATTCTTCTACAAATTATCGTCCATGACTTATTGAACGTGTCCTCTATGTGAGGATCAGAGCTTGTGAGTTAATGGAGAGTGAGAAAATGAAACAGTGCCATGAGCACAATATCCAACACGAATTTCTCATGCTCTATCCATCTAACGGGTGGTCGCTCATCCACCTCTTGAGTCACCCCTACGTCAAAAAAAGAACCTACTTCAAAGAAAGAAATAAGTAAAACCGGTCAAAACTCAAGAATCCCTCCACTTTTTTACGAAATAGTCCGATACAAAAGGAAATATACAACCATAAGTGGTAAATCTTCGGTTCCTCATAAGTGTCTGACTTCTAGAACGGACTGGTAGTCTGGAAGAAAGTAGACATATTGAGCACGAAAATGCAATAAAACGGAAGGTTACTTTTTCCAAGAAAAAAACATGTGTGTACCTGTCAGAACTCGTATTCATCACCGAACTCGGCCAAACACACGGTTGTGAGTTTTTGATGGCCGCCTTTTGTAATCTAGCTTGCAACCGCGGATATACAGAAAGTGTCCGCTGACTAAGAAAGTTGAAACATAAGATTAGGAAAAAGTAGTAAAAATACGAAGAGTCTCAAAACGTGGTAGGTTTCTCAGGGTCAGCGACATAAATATAGTCTTAGAGATTAATGTTTAGACGAGCTTGATGTTAATACGCATGTCAGGATAACACTATATTTCCTAAAACGACAAAATGAAGATCATATTTTCTTTATTTAAAACGCTATATATCTAGCCACATTTATAATCAACATCAATTGTTTTTCTATATCAATGGTAAAAAGCAAATGTAAATATTTTGTTATACTAAATCATACACACATTGCTATTATAATACTGCAAGGATGAGTATTTTGGGACAAACAGGCTATAAAAAGACTGGTAAAAGAAGCGTAAGCTATATTTCTCAAACTGACGGCTAGTTAAATAATATGTATAGCTATGAGTGTGCTGACGTTTATTTCTACGACATATCATCATCACCGGCTGCCGATTCTGCGGATGAGAAGAAACTGTATTGTTTGAATGAACTGATGATTCCTCTGTACTCGTTGAATGCTTGATTTCGAATTCCAAATACAGTACATTCGTTCGTGCTTATCTAGTACTTCTTGATCCAATTGTGTTATTTCTGGGATTCTTAGTTCGTACTATAATTCAAATACTCCTAATCATCATATTGGCGTCGCGGTTGAGCCTGAGATGGAACGGTTGGACCTTCGAAAAGTACCAGAGAGTTTTTAGAAGCTTGACACTCAGTTCAATCAGCAATCAACAAACACATTGAAATCTATCAAAACTATCGACCAATTGGAATAATCATGGACAAATATAGGATCAAGAATCAAATTAATGGCAGATAAAACCAAATTAAAGAAGTAGGCAATGACAGAATAAGGGTCAACAACAATCAATCAACATCGAGTTCGACAGGATAAGCTGTGAGTCATATGTAGAGAAATTCGAACACTCCACTTATATCTGAAATTTGTGCTGATGATATTGTTCAGAAGAACAATGAAAGCTCCGTAACCAAATCATCCAGCTGAGAGAACAAAACTCCACCCAAATCATTCACTTGAGCTACAAATCTTCTCCATCATCTCAAATACAACAGTACATTCAAAAACGCTGAATAAATAGAAATAGTACCATTCTATTTAAAGCCAAAACAAATTTCTATTTCTTTTATTTCAATGGTCAACTTACTGAATTATTTTTACTTA